TGATGCAACAAGTAGAAAAAGCTCCAATTGCTGCTCAAAGATATACTTCAACTGCTGCTTAAAGATATATGCTCCAACTGTTCTTTAATGATATTGTACAACGTACTGCAGGTTAAAAGTATGCTCCAACTGCAGGTTATTGATATGTTCCAACTGTAAGTTAAAGATATGCATTAACCGCAGGTTAAAGATAAGCTCCACCTGCTGGCTAAAGGTATGCGCCAACTGCAGATAAGAGATATGCTCTAACAGATGGTAGTCGAATGTTAGTTTTTCATAACTTTTTAAATTTTGCAAAACAATTTGTCGGAGATGTCGATTTCGTTTGGATCATAAAGCAATGGTACTGTTGCTTCATGAAATTTCTATTCATTTACAGCAAATTGCCTAAAAGAAATATTGTTTTAGGTTTTACTTGAAACTTGCAAATAATCCATGTTAATTTGCTACAATTTTTGAGTTCTTTGGTGAAGAACGACCTATTTCTATCAAAAGGCAAATTCATCCAATCGGCTTGCTACCAAGTCTTATAGAACATACAGAAAAATAGAAGAATAATCAGGGATTAGCTACACTACGCGTATAAATAGCATTATTTTTCTTTTGATGATAAGAGCTTTAGTCTTCCAAGGCCATGAATATTTTATGCTGAAAAAAAAACTGATTCAACGACTACCGAATCAGGAGCTGTCCTAATAAACCACCGAGATAGCTTCGAGCTCTAAATTTTTTCTCAGTTTTGTCTTTTTGTTCTGATCGACAATTAAGATGGGACCTTTTTAAGCTTACGTATCTGTCTTGAAAGACGATGGAAATGTTTACATCTTCTCAAGATATATTGAATCTTGTCATATTAAAATTGACGAAGAACTTATGTAATGCAAATAAATGAATGTTGAGAGGAATTATTGGCTCAGAACTATAACAGCACGCACATAGTTCAATTTCCCTAAATATTTAAACTGGACATTTAGCAAGATTTTCTCAGCATTCAATTTAAAATGCATCGGTTCAAATGATGCGAGATAATTAAATTCTCTCATATCGTGAGCCACAAATCTATCGAACTTTGAGCTTCGTATTTAAATTCTCGTATAATATAGTACTTGCACCCATCCACGCCTGTCAGTTTCATCAAGAATGTCGAACCAGTTTTTGAAAGGATTCATCAGTCCGGCCGCTCATTAGGACGAAAGCATTAATAGGAAAAGTGAGCAGCTGTGCTGAAGCCATCAAACACTTTCGCGCAGGGTCAAGGGCGGCCAAGCGACCTGATCCAGACGCCAGACTTCTCAGGCGGCGCGAGTGCTGCGACTGCGCTTTGTTCTCGAATATTTTCTCGTTTCAAATAATGCAATGAGCTTTTGATTTGTTAACAAAGCTAGAATATTTTCGTTTCAAATAATGCAATGAGCTTTTGATTTGTTAACATAGCTAAAATATTTTCGTTCCAAATAATGCAATGAGCTTTCGATTTGTTAACACAGCTACAATATTTTCGTTTCAAATAATGCAATGAGCTTATCATTGAGCTTTCGATTTGTTAACACAGCTACAATATTTTCGTTTCAAATAATGCAATGAGCTTAAAATCAATGAGCTTTCGATTTGTTAACATAGCTATAATATGTTCGTTTCAAATAATGCAATGAGCTTTTGATTTATTAACATAGCTATAATATTCTCGTTTCAGATAAAGTAATGAGTTTTCGATTAGTTAAAATAGCTATAATTTTTTTTCTGAGAGCTTTGTGGTTTCAATTCCGTCACAAGATCGTCAGCCTTATTTTCAACTCGTAGACTATAAACCAATTTATACTGCTAAAAAATATATTAATTAGGCTTTAAAGCTGCGATATGAATTGATCTTTATCTATATTATGCACATAATCTATATGAATTTATATTACGTGCTTTGTTTGAAATTTTATACAGTCCCTTAAATTGTAGTCAATCGCTGACGATCACTTAATAATATACATTTTGTACACATTGTTCATGAGATGAAAATCACAATTTAAAGAAAAATTTGAATATGCAAAAATTTTGATAATTCCTTTGGGATTAAGTCTCACATTTGTTAAAGAGTTTCAAGTAAATCCGCAGACATGCCTTGAATTTGTGAACTTCAATGCATGTCAAGTACTTATCACAAACAAGGGTTTTTTGGTTCATAAATATTGATCATAAATCACTTATTGATGTCGTTAACAAGATTAGTTAATATTATTACTCACTACATTAAATGTTTATTTATTAGCCATGAGAATTCTTTCAAAGAGGATACATATGTTTACTCCTTCTATGAATGTAAATAGCAGGGCTCCAATAAACCTATAATGCATCGTTTACGCAAGAAATATAGATGTTGTAATTACTTCAACATTTATTTAGCAGATGAACACAACATTTTCTGCAACTATATTAAATCTAAACAAGATCATTCTCTTAGAGCAATTTGCATGTAATTGTGATCAAAAGCTAATTCCAAAAGTGCAGTCACGCGCGAGCACAACTTGCGTGCAATTGCAGCGTTCAGAGTGCTGGACTCAGCGCTCAGAGTGCCGGACTCAGCGTTCGGAGTGCCGGACTCAGCGTTCAGAGTGCTGGACTCAGCGCTCAGAGTGCCGGACTCAGCGTTCAGAGTGCCAGAATTTGCATTCAGAGTTCCGGACTCAGGGCTGCAGCGACTCAGCGGCACTCAGCCGAGAGCCGAACTTAGCGATCAGAGTGCAAGAATCGGCGCTCAGAGTACCGAACTCAGCTCTAAGAGTTCCGGACTCAGCGCTCAGAGTGCCGGACTCAGCGCTCAGAGTGCCGGACTCAGAGAACGAGTTTAGTGAGCACCCGCGCGTGTGGGCGGAGGCTCGCCCAGCCAACCTTCAGAAGACGCCCACGCCGGGCCTCAGCTCGACCCACTCATGTGCTGTGTGCACATTTGCTTGATTATTCTTTAAATATATTTACTAATACTCATATTAATAAATTTTCTTTCTGTTTAAACTTTATTTACTGATACTCATAGTATTTTATTTACTTTTTGTTTAAACTTTATTTACTAATACTCATATCATTTTATTTTCTTAGACGTTGATTTTAAATTGAACCATGTTCATGCAGAACATATTTCATATTCACACACGATTAGACATGCGTTCAGACAAATATTTTACTCTACGTTTTTCATTTATCTTTTAAAATCTGTGTCAAAACAGAATATGAAGCTGATACAGGAAAATTGTTTAAACATTTTCAACTTTCTTGAAAACAGAATATGAAGCTAGGGTAAGAAAATAATTTGAGCCTTTTCAACTTTCTTGAATAGGTTCTATGTAGTTGCGCAGCCTACTAGAACTGCCCCTATGTAGTTCTAGAACGTGAACCCAGGCTCTCAGATAAGAAGCCCCCACAGCTTATTTGTGTTTGGGAATTTAAGTGTTCTTTTTTTATTTTTTGAAAGTATAAAACTTCCGCCATGAATTTACTGCGTGAGTGGCAGATCAACTTTCAGCTCTTGGACTCACTTACGCTGGCGCGTAAGTGAGGAATAAAAACCTGGTTGCTTTGACAGGCCACTAACTTCCTGCATGAACTGACAGCTTCGGAACGTTAATTCAAATGTAATCAATGTTAGTAGGACTTTTCAGGATCAGCCAGTTCTCGATGCAGACAAAATGCAGAAGGGAACGATATTTTTAATTGTCGTTGACTTTATAATAAAAAAAGGTTTAGAATGATTCATATCGATAAAAAATGATATTTGGGGCATGGCTGCGGTAATGTATAGGTGTAAAATTTTCAAATCAATTTTGTTTTGTTATTCATGTTTTGTGTGCCGAGTCCTAGGTCAACATTCGGTTTCTGAAAGGATAAAGAACGTGGGTAACTGAAATACATTTTTTCAAGCTGTGATGTGCAAAATTATTGTACGATACAGGAAAATAATGAGCTGTGAAACAGACGGATATTTTGATGTAATACAGAAGGATATTTTGGTGTGATACAGAAGGATACTGTGGTATGATATAGAAAGATATTTTGGTGTGGTACAGGAGGATATAGTGGTGTGGTACAGAAGAAAACTGTCTTGAGATACAGAAGTACACGGTGCTACTATGCAGAAGGATTATAATGTTCGAAGTTACTATCGGACGGGTTTATACACTTTTGAGCGTTTCTCTGAGAGCATCGTTACACGATAGACATGAGGGATGGAAATTACGGATAAGGCTTTTAGCAAAAAATTTGATTTGCTACTAGTTCTAATATAGGAATTTTTTCGTTGAGATTTAGAGATTGAATGTTTTAAAAAATGAGTTTGATACTAACTTTATAAGGAGTTCTCCCTTCTCTTGCGTGTCTTTACAAAGACATGTGGAGGTCAAGCGAGCCAAGCGCGGCTTGCATCCCTTTCGCTTTTTACAGTCTGGACATCGGTCGGGGCCGACTGTATGCTCGCTCACAGATGCCATGAACAAAATGTCTCTAAGTAGTGACACTGTATACTAAAACTACTGCAGTTTAAGGTAAAATATTATTAAAACATGAGTAGGTATGTGAAATGTTTACGTCATACCTGAAGAATTAGTAAGTTACAAAAATTCGGAAACCCGAAGTTTTTAGTCAAAATAGCAATCTGCATTGGCGAACCTACGTACATTTACCCGAAATCCCACTTGATTGTAGTTTTTTAACCATCGTCAGTGTAAAAAAATGAGAATCGTGTGTTTAATAATTATGTATGGATGTAAAAGGGAATAAAGCACCTTACTTTTCGCAGGTGGCGATCTCATTGAAGATGTCCGAATTAATCGAAGTCTTCAAAAAAGAAAAAAGGTTAATTCGTTAAAATAATAGATTCAAAGGTTAAAATACAACGAACGTTACACTTCACTGAATATACTGTTTCTCAAAACACTGAAGAAAAGCGTTAGAAGCGTTGAAATAACGATCATTTGTTAAATAAGAAGCGAGGTTACTGAAGGCAGAAGCTCGCTCACTTGTTTGATAGAGTGGTCGCTATACAGGCTGGTGAGTAGTCTCAGCCCCACACTAATACGATCAAACACGGGGGAACGGCAGCACACGGAGCTCTTCCAGTGACGTCTGCCCAGAGTATGCCCACAGCTGCGAGTTGCACCGACTAGTCGCTCAATTCTGCCAACCTTTACACAAGCGTCATCCACCCTCTATCCAGGGCCTGGTGGGTAGCCTCCGCCCTCGCTCTAGGCTAAGTAACCTCTTCCCGAACTGCAGCCCTCAGCTGCTACAGGGGCTTAAGCCTTATGGCATTTCTGGTATTGTAAAACAAATTGGGTCTTAGGTAGAAAGCAAAGGATACGTTTTTTGTATCACAAGTCTCAATTTCACATGACGATGAAGCATTCATATGGAATGTAGAGTGACTTCCCACGTTAAAAAAATTTACTATAAATTTTCTGATTAATTAACTAACGATTTAAGGCGTTTTTTATGGAAGAGCTTAAAATTTATATGAGCAAATTCTTCAGAAAGCGTGTTGTGTTTCAAAATTTACTTTTTATCATATTTATTTTATTAGAGAATGGGTGAATAATACTCTAGAAATAAATTGTTAGAAACTTTCTCTCAAAAATAATATGGATTTACTCAATATACCAGCTTTTTAGGAAAAATAACTATCACATTTTCCCAAATTGATGACCGAACATGCGATCCCAGTCGAAAATGAGGTTGAAACAGCTTGGAATTATGATAGTTCACCAAAATGAATGCCCTTCAAACATAAGTGAACGGAGCTGCTCGCCAGCTGTGTAGTATATCCTCTTACTGAACCAAAGGTCAGGATACGTGAGTGGGACACGTGGCCTAGATCCTGCGCTGCTCAATAAGGGCAAGATTGGATTAACTCCTTCCTCTCCAAGGGTTGGAATCCTAGAACCCTTTCTAAGATCTCAAGTGTCGGTCACAATCGTTTCAAGTAATGGAATTTTTACAATCGGGTTGTTGAGAAATAATCGCTGAAGGAATTGGTATTTTACAAATTTTTAATAGGCAATGCGCACAACGAAAAAAGTTCTAAATGAATTTAACGAATAATAGCTGCGCGAGACTGGGATGGATTGTTTTTGTAGAACTGAAAATGTCTGGCAATCATGCTTAGAACTGTTTATGTAGTATTTTCTAAAATACCGTACCAGATGTCAACCACTCCGACTGGGCATTGAAGCGTGAAGGTGTGTGCGTCAGAATGTCGTTGCGAAGATGCAAAGAGCTTTGACTCGCGTATATATGCAGTGCTAGACACATTTACCAGCTCTCAGATGAAAAATACTAACTATATTGAACAATTAATAAAAAATATTTTTATTTCAGGAGCGTGATTCAGTCTAAATTTGTTAAAGCCGTTTCCTCAGCGGTTTTTAGTTGTGATCAGTGTTGAAAAAAGAAACAGAGATATTTGTTTTCAGATCAGTAAGGTTTCGGTGGTTGTATGCCCCATATTGAACGCACAGTTCACGAAAGGGAAAAAATATTCATATAAAAACACATTGGAGCGTCAGTTTGCAATTTATTCTAGAGATATGAACAAACGAAGCATTTGATTTTAAGTTCGTAAACGCTGCTATGGCCATTATCAGAGCGGAGCTAAAAAAAATACTTGCTGAGCATACAATGTTTCAACCGCACGCAGTATAATTGCTACGTTATCATAAAATGACTAAAAATGAAATGTAAAAAATGACCTCATTGCATTATAAATTGTAATATAAATGATTTCGGGAAGCTGAACATAGATAAATAACGCATTTTCCAGAGCGGGTTAAAATTATCGGATATAAATTCAATACCAGCAAATCACGACGGGCGATGGCGAAATCGACAGAGGCAGGCTATAGACTTTCAGCATCAAGATAAGACCCAATTCATGAATTTACACTGACGAAGACCGAATTTCCACTGACTAAGACCGAATTTTCATTGATGAAGACCGAATTTCCATTAACGAACACCGAATTTTCATTAAAGAAGACCGAATTTCCACTGAATAAAACCGAATTTCCGCTGACGAAGACCGAATTTCCACTGAAGAAAACCGAATTTCCACTAACGAAAACCGAATTTCCATTGAATAAGACCAAGCAGTGACAAAGGGGCGGTGGCAGAGCGCGGGGGCCGCTGTGAGCTGCCAAGGTGAGCGAGACGGTGAGCGTCAGGCTCGGCCGCTCCTGCCGCCCACGCGCGGCCGAATGTCACGGCGACGCGCTTGTTCCGCGCGCTCTTGAAGCGCCGCCACAGCCATGCTGCGGGAATAGTTTACATTTGCTTGCTTGCTTCTGTTCCATAGAATTTCAAAGCAAAGAAAATAGCCCAAAAATTTACAATTTCTTTATGCGAGAAGTCCTCTGGGTGTCCAGCTCCATTGTTAATTCGAAATCCTAGAAAACAAGTACACTAATTTTTGTGATGATTTCTTTCAGATTCATGGTGAATTTGCTATGTAAGTGAACAAGTGATCTTAACATGTCAGTTAACTGTTACGGAGTGTCAAAAAAGGCGAGATGTGCATAATTTAACAATAGTGGTTGATGTTTAATAAAAAATGAAACTATATTCATGCAGTAGTAAACTGTGAGTAGACAGAGAGTAGAACAATAGCACTTCAGGTAACGCAGAATTGAAAAGTCAAAGCTTTCTTAAAATATATATTGATATTTGGAATTAATCATATTTAGAATTATTGATATAAAGAATGGTTTATATTTCAATAATTCGAATTTCCGATGTTAGGAATTGTTGATGCTTTGAATTTTTGAATGAGTAAAATTTCAGTGGCAGCAGCACCAGTAGATTGGAAACAGACACGATTCGGTCATTTTTTAATTAGTCAGTGCAACAGTAATGCAGACGTTTCTGAAGTATCACCACTTATACCTGAGAGCAGTCTCGTTTTTCATAATATTATAGGAATGTAAAAAAGGAAAATTATCTGGGTTTGACTTCTCTCAATAAATTGCTGAATATCTGTCAATGGCTATCCAAATATATCTTAATGAAATCCTATTCATTTAGTAAACATACTGCAACATTTCATTATTTCTGCCCCACCTGTTCATTTCTAAGAATTTTTCTAGGATTGTTTTATTAATTCCTTTAGAATCATTCGGGTCTTGGTATCTTAGAGCTATAGAAGGCCTCAAGCGTCAACACGGCTCGGGATTGTGACGCCATGGAGTTCTAAGTATGCGCGTCATCCGCAGCTCTCGGCGAGTCATCTGAGATGACAACATCTCAAAAAAGATGCCGTCAACAAAGATGAAAAGCCCACGATGGTCTTTTTCAGAGGTGCTCTTGCATGGCACTCAAGACGAAGTTTAAGACGAGGGAGAGTCATACCCTGCATGTACATATCCTTGGCATCTTTGGTATTCATACACCATTTGAGGTTCATTTTACTTTATCAGACGATGTACAGGACCCTAAATGATATTAAACTTTTTTGAAAATGTGAAAAGCGGTTGGCAGGTATTTTTGCCGACCAGCAGGACGAAATAAATCACGACTGACGACCAGTTTGTGAGATATAAATCACGACTGAAGTTATTGACAAATATATATATATATATATGTGTTCTCTTCCGTATACGTGAGATAATTTTATATATTGCAGTTTTACGACATTCAGATAATAATGAGACATCAACAAACTAAACCTGTAGCTAATAAAAAATTTCTTGCTTGTGGATCATTTTCATGCGCGATTATGGCAAAAGAGATACGATGAAAACTAAAAATCATCCCAGTCATAGTATATGCAACGAGCCTGTCTTATATTGCATAACTTATCACAACCAAGTGGTTGCCGGTTTCAATCTGCGACTTTCTGGAAATGCATCCAGAGTTGAGCTGATGTCTGCATTCATTTTTTTACATGCCGCAGCTGAAGCTCCTTATTTTTCAAAAATCACGAAGAGGAATTGGACAAAATAACAGATAACGCTTACTGAACTATGTGTGAATAATCACTGTCCTCTCTAATTCAGAATTCAGTGCACTCATTGAATGAGCTGTAAAAATCAGTCCTCGGATGTAGCCGAGGGCTAATTTTGATAAGAAATTTATTGCATGCTGCAGCGCTGAAACAATTTGCTGAATTTATCATTGCTTCGAAGCAACACGGGTCTTCACAGGCACATTGGTATCGGTATCAATATTCGTGAAGACATTTTTCAACTTCCTGTACATTCCGTAATTCCCAGAACTGTATCACGTTATTTCAGTAAAACTATATATAGCAGAGCGACTACAAACACAAGCAACTTCTGATAATTTCACCAGCATACAGATCCTTGTGCTTCGATGCAAGCTGTGTACTCTAGAACACCTAAACATTTGTTCTCGCTGTGTCCAGGTTTGTTGACTCTGGTTTCAATAAAAAATTATATTGTAGAAATGAATTTTGAAAATATCCCCTGCACTTATCCTCCTACTTGTCGTAAACCAACGTAGTACCAATTATCCTCCTACTTGTCGTAAACCAACGTAGTACTAGTACCAATGTAGTACGGCACATACACTCAGAGAATTGAGTGTGATTTGCAAATGTCGATGCAATTTTTAGCGCATTTTCTCATAAATGGAAAAAAGGCGCTATTATGCTCGTCATGTCCGTTCGTCCGTCCCTCTGTTCGTCTGTCCGTGACTTCACGGACAGACGGACGGAAAATGCGCTATCTATCACTCACTGCAGTGAGTACTGATCTAACTTTTTACTTCGTGTGGTTCGTTCTGTTCTACTATGACTCGAGAAATATTCTATTTGTTCTGCGTGTCACTATTTAGAGAGTAATACCCGTTCATTTTCCTAAGAGTATTTTGGATGCCACTGCACTACAAGCAATGTGCGAGTGGCAGAGTGGCAGTTATAAACCATACGTTATCCAGTTATACAATAGACTGAAATATAAATATTATATATATATTCTGAAATATATTATTTTATATTCGCTATATAACTGAAATTTAGAATCTAAAAGATTGAATGATTTTTATAAAAAAATATTGTAGTTTAACTTCATTAAACTTAAAATACTTGAACAATGAATGCTCACGCAGAATTAAGACTTTTATTTCGATCTATTTTATAATATGGGTTTAAAATTTTAATATATTTTAAAGCAGATGATTCCTGCATGAGGCTGCAAAAATCAGACAGACTAGGAAATTTTCATCAAAACTTCCATGAAAATGTTCGTATTCAGCCTTTTTAAAATTAATTCATATTATATGACAAATTTATAACATAATGATAAATGCTTGCAAGAATGGTTTCCGTATAACTTGTATAATTAGCATGCCAGTTCACGCTAGGTTCTAGAGCGCGAGTCACGTCACACGAATGGCATGCATGCAATCATGGTTGAATTAATATTTAATTAATTCAACCATGCATACAACAGCCTCGGAGTTGCGATCAAAGAACTTGCCTTGGCGGCCATGCATTAAGTTGTTCCGTGTGGGCGAGAAGCCAAATGTAATCCACTCGAAAAAAAATGTGTTTATAAGCTCCATTTTCCAACAAAATTATTAATGCTTGGCATTTTACAGTTATTTATAAAGATTATATAGCGAGTGCTTTACCTTAACCTTTAACGCCCGTTAGGTTTGTTAGTTTTGAGGTTAAAAGAGAAATGGTGAGGAGATATGCATGCAAAAAAATTATTGAAGATCAATATCATTACAAGTTACAGTGCATTATTTATAATTATTCAATGGATGTTTCTTTAGGATATCGCTAGTCGTTTAATTCTAGCTGTTTCATACAGAAAAGGGAACATTTTTTCTATTAATATGTTTTATTCCTATCGAAAACAATACCGTGTGTGTTTATAAGGTATTGCTTGTTATTTTACGAAAAATAACTGCTCTATTGAAATAACAAAATCGCTAAGTAGACTTACCAGATGCATAAATAGAAAATTTTATTCGTTGGTAATACAAGTCTCACTCAATGGACCGCACACTATGGCGTTGCCTTCCAGTACAAATGGTTTGTGTTAGCCTTGCTGATGATTTGGTGGAATTAAATTATCAGTTATATCTTTAGTCTGGATCGAACTTTTCACGATCGCGCGATCTGGTTATAATTTTATCAAATAAGTCATAGTTTAAAATTTAAAATGTTACATAGAGTGCTTTTGTATTTGTATACAAACAAAAGTGAACTAAAAGCGTGAATATATTTTTGAGTGCACCAATATCTCGTGTATATTGTTGAGTGCACCAACATCTCGTGTATATTGCTGAGTGCACCAATATCTCGCGTATATTGTTAAATGTACCAATATCTCGCGTATATTGTTAAATGTACCAATATCTCGTGTATATTGTTGAGTGCACCAATATCCATGTATAAAAATTCCTTAACAAATGTCACATATTACGAACCTTGAGCCGTGAACCTTTGCTCTCATTCCCCCGCTTAACATTGAAGAGCCTCCCACGAGAAGCATAAAATAGGCATCTTATCACCTGCTCTTCACCTAAATGAAGCCACATTGACAGCTGCCGTTAATATAAATTAAAATATCTTTGTGAAAGGGGAAAATTCCTGGTCTTCATGTACGTAAGAGGCATTTGAAACCTCCCTGTATTGCTGTGAAAAGAAAAATGATGGTATAAATTTTTATTAAATATAAGATAATACGACATCCTTCACTAATATCGTTGTTAAACTTTATCGTTGTTAATTACCTCAAAGAGAATCTTTTGATTTCCTTTCAAAAATTGCCAGTTAATTCTTAACATAATCAATCAATATTATTTAGTGTTATGCTTCTGTAATGAAGCTGGTCGCTACGCCCAGTTGTCACTGCATCAGTAACTGCAGCTGTCACTGCAGCTGTCACTGCAGCTGTCACTGCAGCTGTCACTGCAGCAGTCACTGCAGCAGTCACTGCAGCAGTCACTGCAGCAGTCACTGCAGCAGTCACTGCAGCAGTCACTGCAGCAGTCACTGCAGTATAGATCACGCCCCGAGTGAGCGTCACGTGGAGTGGGAGGCAGCGCTGTGCGTGGGCCGGAGGGCGCCAGCCTCTCACTTTCGGTGTCGCGTCGAACACGAACCCGATGAAAATTTACAGACGCGGCAGCTTCTGATTTGGAGTATCAGAAGCTGGGGCGACTCTAAATTTTGTCAGGGAACGGCTGCTAACCGGGTGTCGTATGTGGGGCAAAACTTACGACAGTAGTTTTGCCCCACAGACGACAGTTCGTATAGTGACCACATACTACTACTAAAAAGAATACTATATAATTCTTTACTAAATACTAAATAATTATAATTATAAATACTAAATAATAATACTAAATAATTATTTAAAAGTATAAGACTTCCACTTTGTGACATTCAGAGGCAAATTCTAATAATCATTATTTATTTAATGTTACAATTCCTAATAGTTACATCATGGTCTGTTGAAAATTTAGTTATTTTTGATAGATGAAATTTTATTTTTTGCATTACATTTCCAACTGTTGGTGAGCATCAAAACACATTTGACGATATATTAATGGTCGCCAAACTGCACGCAATTCAGTGGCTGTGAATATTCTAACACTAATTATAAACGGATACAACAGGCTGCATAACTGGCAATTTTTTGATAATCGTCAATAATTTAGTGCGCTATTCTGAACTAAATTTGGGTTCTGGTCATTTAGCATTTTTTACAGTTTAAATCTTTTACGGCGCGTAATCAATCAATTAAGTTTGAAAAATAAAGCAGCTAATCAATGAAATGTATTCCACAAATAGAAGCAGTGTGAAAGGTACAACAATAAAATTACTGAAAAAACGAATTAAAAAAATTACACTCAAGTATTTCAATTGTTCATCTTTATTTTCATTTCTTCATTTTTAATGTTTTCATGCTATTCATGTTTTCGAAAAGAATGGTTACTCGCTTGGCTTCTTCTGATATATGCATTTATATGTACCTAATGAGATGGAATTTAATTTCAGAACAATCAAAATGGAAGTTTTTAAATTTTTCAAATGTTATGAATAATTAATTTCGTTTTAAAGCAATAACCTTGCAAAAAATAATGCACTCTATCAAGCATTTATTCGATATTTTATTCCTATTACGTGGATCATTCGTGAATTGATCTAGTCTGTGAACTCATACGAATAAATCCACTCAAATTTGCTTAGGCACCGATTGCAATTTCTTATTCTCAATCGTTAAAGTTTACGTAGAATTTTGGCGAACAAAATATACGAGATTTCCGCGTTCATAGCAATGAAGGATAAAGGAAATAAGATCGAGGTTCCTTTTATTGTGGAAAACTCTGGGTTTCTGGGAGGAAACTCAACAGGTTCTCCTATATGCATGCGAGAAGCGGGGCCAAGCACAGACTTTTTCTAGATAATATTCCTAAATTTTAGTTGAGAAATGCATGTTTCATGTAGGTTTATTTTAGCCGAAATATTAAAATTTGCAACCGAAAAAATTAATCAAATTTTTTATATATGAGATCAATAGTGCTAAAAATCCAAATTTAAATTAAGCTTTCTTGAGCAAAAGAAGCCAAATATATTTACAGGATTCCTAAGATTGAACCTATTGCTATTTTTCAGTTTCGACGAAGTTAATGCTTATGACATATCGCTTGGGAGTGCATGCGCTGGATCTTACATTAATTAAAGCTTGCCGCTATAAACTCTACATGAAAGTTAGTGTTTTGTGCTGCGGTGTAGTCTCAAAATTATTAAATAGTACTAAATTAGTAAAGAAATAGTAATTAATGAACTGTCGAAGAGTGGAACCGAGTATAATGGATTGAAAACGTTGCCAAAAATAAGATAGAATTTTTTACATCAGGAATCCAAAGAAACTTTACTTTCTTTCAGAGTTAAGCAGTGCACAAGTGTCTTCAGAACAAGAAACAATAGTGAATTTAAATATTTCCATGTGATTATTCCGTTAATGTTTCTGGTAGAAAACCAATGAAAAATATCAAAAAGAATTTCGATTTTTGTTCTATAATTCGCAAAAATACATTTGTTTGTCCAACTTCATGGAAATATAAAGCATGACTATCAAAAAATTCCTGCACATTCCTGAATTTATCGGTGGAGAAGAATTCTAAAAAGGAACTAACTCAGAAATAGTAGGAATCTAACCAAGCTGCGTGGATGCATTATATGTCATGCGATTAATAATTAATAATAATCACAAGCTATGTCATGCATTTAATAATTAATAATAACCGCACGCTGTGTCATGCGATTAATAATTGTCATAAGCGCTAGCAGGATCGTTAGTTATTTTGAAATTTTTAACGGTTTTTCACAGTTGTTGCTAACTGGGCTCTAAATTCCCCCTAGACACCTGAAACAAAAACTTGTCAATGCTCGTCTGTATAGAGACTACATTCAGACAAATAAATGGGCAACATTGTCCTAGTATTGACATATTTTCTTACCCACTGCACGATCACGAAATGTACGTATCACTGATAAGCCATTTCTCCGTCAAAACTGGGTCAGGATGACCCACAAAGACCAGCAAAACTGGGTCAGGATGACCCACAAAGACCAGCAAAACTGGGTCAGGATGACCCACAAAGACCAGCAAAACTGGGTAAGGACGACCACAAATGTTGGAAAAGCCCATCGCTATTTGGACAATGTGTCACTCATTTCTTTGATTGCACACTTAGAGTTCACGTGCAATCAACTCGCTGGAGTAGCGAAGCATCGTCCAGAGTTTGGCAGTAGTCGAACTAATGAAATAACTACGTAATTGAGGTTCAGGATATATAGTCATCAATAATGAGCAAATATATCGACACCGCTACTTGACTATAGAGGAAATACAAGTCAATATAACAAGTCATGCATGTATGGCGGTTAACTTGCAGTCTTACCAGACTTAAATAATGCCATTTACAAGCTTTCATCATAAAATGATTTGGCACAAGTTTCGTGGACCAAGCATGAAAAATAATTTAATTGTGGACTTCATTTTTTTCGTCGAATGATCGATACCCATTGCAATTGGTACCGAGCAATATTTTATTCTATTAACAATTCAATTTTATAATATTTATTCTTATTCAAATGATCATGTCTTTAATTTTATCAGCATAGCCGAGCGCTTTCGTCGGTATTTTCATCTATTTACGAAAAATATTAATCTAAACAGTTCCGGTATAAATTTATTGATATTATATGAAATCAATTATTCTTCAGTGATGGTACCCCGATGTCCCCATGAGGCTCAAGTCCTGCCGATGGCGTAGCGCGAGCGGGGGTGTGGGGAGCAGCTGATCAGAGGGTTGCCGTCGAACCCTGTGGGGCACGTGCATACGGGCACGTGGTTCCTCATCGTGCAGTCCGCGGACCGTCCGCACACTGGGCGGCCCGCTACGTGACATGTCGACTGCAGAGACACAATAAACCGTAGAATTAAGCTATGTAATACAAATATGCTTTAAACACATAACTTTTGAACAATTGAGATTCTAGGAGAAAGCAATTAAAGAATTTGTTTTTATTGAAAATATTTAACGATTACACCTAACCATGGAATTAAACTATGTAAGATAAATATGTTTTAAACTCATACCTTCTGAATAATTGAGATTATACGAGAAAGCAATTAAAGAATTTATTTTATCGCACGTATTTAGCGGTTACATTTAACAGTAAAATTAAGTAAGACAGGTATAATTTAAAACGATAACTTCTCAATTACCTAGATTTTATGAGGGAGCAATTAAATAATTTATTTTTATATCACAGATTCATTGACTATAGATATATTATTGCTGAAAAATTAATCACGCGCGTTATTATTTTTTAACTACGACCACAGGTGGGATAACATGGAGGCATTCAGTGAAATTTTTACAAAATCTACAAAATTATATAATTTTGAAAATGCTTCTGGCCGTGCATTGAATGAGAGATTCAAAAACCGCGAGCATTCATAAAAGACAATTCTATTTTTTGTATTCAACATTTTAAATGCTTCCTGAACACACATTTTGTTTCTTGAATTTTTCAGTTTGATTTGCTGGAACGTAGTAATGACCTGCCACTCGTACCAATGACCTGCCACTCGTACCAATGNGCCTGTCTCTTATACACATCTAGATGTGTATAAGAGACAGCACTCATACCACTCACCTGCCACTCATACCACTCACCTGCCACTCGTACCACTCACCTGACACTTGTACTCGTAGCAAGCCTCGTTGGAGCGACACTCGCGGTCAGTCTCGCACTCGCCCCGTATGCACGCCTGCAGCGGGTTGCCCACGTACCCGCGGGGGCACGTGCACACGGGCCGGTCATTACCGTCGCGGTCGTGGCCCGGCGTGCAGTCCGCGTTAGACCCGCACGGGTTAGGGCGACACAGCTCAGCTGGACGATGGATTGTTTATTAGATTTATGTACGAGGTATGAATGTTATTAATGTATGAATGTTATTTTATCTTATATACAGCTCAGCTGTACGTTGTATTGTTTATTAAATTTATGTATGAGGTATGAATGTTTTTTATGTATGGCTGTTATTAGACTTGTGAATGCTATTATATCTTGTGGATGTTATTACATATTATATACAACTCAGCTGTACGTTGTATTGTTTATTAGGTTTATGTATGAGATATGAATGTTATTGATGTATGGCTGTTATTGGACTTGTGAATGTTATTATATGTTGTGGCGAGCAAACCGGGCGGTTTTCGACGGCTGAATCATTGTAGGTGATGAGGCATCAGTCCAGGTTTGAAGTAAGCAATTATTAATCAATAAAAGGAAAAAAGTTTTTTTTGTGAAAATATTAAATGTGATAATATTAAATTGTTGTGATTAACATTAAGGTCACGGTATATATAAAGAGAAGCTTTCATATTATTATTGTATCACGCAACTATACCGCTGTAATAAAATTTAAATTGTGCTATTTCATTCGAGCGTAAACAATTTTTACTACAATTACTAGTATATTGACATAAATACATTTTATTTGCATTAATGTTTTTCACTATATTATGTTGACAGCATATTATATGATTTTATATTATTGCTTCAATAAATATTTTTTGTATATTTTATTACTGTACATTATTGTTTTAATTATTGATGCTGTCTCACATCTGTCGAAGGGTCTGCAGGTATTATTACTATAATAATTATATATTTAAATCAAACTATTGTATATTATTCTTTAATATTTGATGAAGTCTCACATCTGTCGAAGGGTCTACAGGTACCAGTGACCCGATTCCATATATTATTGCTATAATAATTATATATTTATATCAAATTATTGTACATTATTGTTTAGTTATTGATGAAGTCTCACATCTGTCGAAGGGCCTGCAGGACTCGAAAGGATGTCCCGTGAAGCCCTTAGGACAGGAGCAGATTGGCTTATGGAGCTCCACGCGACACTCTGCGCCGCTGCCACACGCGCCCACGCAGGGGTCGATACAGCGCAGCTTGAAGCACGCTTGGTGGGCGGGACATTCTTCGTGGGTTGTGCACTCGGGGTAACACCTGCACAGAATTGCCGTGACAAGAGGGTAACACCTACACAGAATTGCCGTGACAAGAGGGTAACACCTGCACAGAATTGCCGTGACAAGAGGGTAACACCTGCACATAATTACCGTGACAAAAGGGTAAAATTGCCATGCCAAGAAGGTAACGCATGTCCAAAATTGCCGTGACAAGAGGGTAATACCTGCACAAAATTACCGTTACAAAAGGGTAAAATTGCCATGCCAAGAGGGTAACGCATGTCCCAAATTGCCATGACAAGAGGGTAACATCTAAACAGAATTGCCGTGACAAGAGGGCAACACTTGCACAGAATTATCGTGACAAGAGGGCAAGAGGGTAACACCTGCACAAAAACGCCGTGACAAGAGGGTAACACCTGAAAAAATTGCCGTGCCAAGACCAGGGAAGTTTCGGCTAAAATTTGTTGCCGACAGAAAAAATAGGTTTAAGTTTATGTAGAAAGTAACTCAATTAAGATGCGCATTTTTACGCGCGTTGGGCGTTTAGTGGATCAGTAGTTTCAGGATTTTCGATGAATCACGACGAAGTCAAATTAAGCGAAGAGTAAGAGCAAGGAAAATCATATATGAATTTCATCAGGAAGTTCTATGTGCTAAATTTAAATGTCAAACTGCGCGCATCGAGGAGAACAAGCCTATGTAGTCGCACGCCATAATAGAACTGCAAATTTAAATTCTAAGCAAGACAACAAAATTTCGCAGCTCATTAGCGAATCTAATGCTTGCTTCTAATTCTTTACTCAAGCAACAGCTCCTGGTAATATTAAATGACATCGCTATTCTATTAATACATAGTATTTATTATTATTAGATTATTTTTCCAGATGGTAAACTTTAAAAAAATATAACTCAGTACTCACTGCAGTGAGTGACAGAGAGCGCATTTTCTCGTCGACGAAAACGCGAAATCATGGACAGACAGACAGACGGACGGATAGACGGACATGGCGAGCACAATAGTGCATTTTTCCATAATGAGCAAATGCGCTTAAACGGTGACATTATAATATTTTACCGAATGGCTGGCCACTAAAACGTCAATAGACCGTTTTCCCACCGTTTTCCACCGTTTTTCCGAGCAATGAGTCATCCTCACCTGGTGTAAGGGTTGCCCAGGTAGAACTCCGGACATGTGCACACGGCGACGCCGTTCCTGACGTTGCAAAGGGCACCGTCTCCACACACGCCGTTCTGGCAGGGGTTCACGCACCTGTACGCAGGAAAAGTGCAAAACTGAGTCAGAACAACACAACTGAAAAAGTGCATCGTTATTTGGACAATTTTGACCAGTTTTTCTGTGTGTGATGCTAATAAAGATCAGGAAAACGTTAAGAAACATTGGAATAGATAGACCGAATATAATTGTTATTGGTATTTTTAAACGTTTAATCAATCCGTCTTTTGTTAAGCAATCTATCTATAATCCCCGTGCACACACTGCCAGATTACTTTAACATGAATTTTTAAATGTACTTTGATGCTAAATGTAATTATATTCATCTCTGAACTTCTAATCATTCGTGGGACTGACCTACTATTAAAAGTACTATTACACGTTAAATAATACTCATTACGTATTGAACATTGTCACGGATTGACCGATTTTTATAGGTACTATTACCCTTTGAATAACCTGTCCATTTTATGGTATTTATTGGTAATTACTGACCGATTATTATGGGTATTATTACACGTTCAATAATCTACCCATTACATATTAACAATTGACAGCGACTAACCGATTATTCTGACAGGCGAAGTTAGCAGGACAGTGCGAGTCTCTCTCACACTCTGGTCTGCAGCCAGTGAGAGGGTCGCCGACGTAGTTAGGCAGGCAGGTGCACACGGCGCGCTCACCCTGCACCTGGCAGTTGGTGTTGCGGCCGCAGGGGCTAGGCCGGCACAGCTCCTCTGCATGCCGTCAAATATTGACACGATTAGGCGTTATTTTTTTTTTATCAATGTACTGGCAGTTTGTGTTGCGGCCGTACGGGCTCGGCCGGCACAGCTCGTCTGCATGCCGTGAAATATTGACATGATTAGGCGTTGTTTTTTTGTATTAATGGAGGATTTATTAGTGCGAATAGAGGTAGTATTTGGGATTTCAAGTACTTCTTAGCGCATTTTCTCATTTATGGAAATAATGCACTATTGTGCTCGTCATGTCCGTCCGTCTGTCTGTCCGTCTGTCTGTCGGTCCTATGTGACTTCACGTTTTCGTCTTATTAGATTAGAGATAATTAGAGTTAATTATAGGTTGATATATAGATAAAATTAGAGATAGTTTATTTTAATTTGGTAGAATTTAGAAAGACAATTAACTTTGTACTAGTGAATTGCTTAAGTATTTATCAACACAGTTAGAGGGGCGTAGTGCTGCATTCAAAATGAAAGTGCTATGCACAAAAATTATTTTATTTACAATTATTTTTTAGGTTTATTAATTTATTAATTAACTAATTATCAATTTTCGGCTATTATTAATTAGTCGCGGTTTATTTTTTTATATACCGTAACGCCGTACCGTAACCGCGACAAATAACATGGCTTACAATAAAATCAAAATGAAATGGAATGAATTTAATTTATTCCAGTATTATTTTGATAATATTGATATTGTCTTATTGATCTCTTCTTTATCGTCTCATGAAGGCGCAAAGCATCTCTTCGGAATTGATTCAATTGAATTGCACCGAAATTTAGTGAATCAATTTAAAGAAAATCTTGATTTATACCTGCAAAATATCAACAATATTGAGCAACATGAATTATTATTGATATAATTGATATTAAACAATATTGTGCAGTATCAATGATCAATTAACTTCAATTATTAGGCTGCGTTGACTTGCAGGTTGCAGTTATTTTATTTAGCAAAGCAAATAATAACAATATTGATCAGGCGTGTGCGCACAACCTGTTGAATATATCGGGCAACACATGTAACTTTTGATACATTGATCATAATGTACATTAATTTTCTAATAAATGTAACAAGACATAAACTGACTTTACTGACATTTAGCAATAAACTCACTGATATAAAATACATTTAGAAGGCCATAAGGCACATCCTGAACAGCCTTCGAAAATAAATTCGCTACAGGCAGGGGCGGGAGTGACGCGTGTGTGTCGTCCCACTCGTATCTCGCTGCCAAGGCCGCGTCTAAATAAGGAGACCTGCAGTGTTGCTCTAACACCTGCAGCCTGCAGCTGGAACTGCACCAACACCTGCAGCCTGCAGCTGGAACTGCACCAACACCTGCAGCCTGCAGCTGGAACTGCACCAACACCTGCAGCCTGCAGCTGGAACTGCACCAACACCTGCGGCCTGCAGCTGGAACTGCACCAANTGAACCAAAACCTGCAGCCTGCACCTTGAATTGAACCAAAACCTGCAGTGTGAACCTTGAATTGAACCAAAACCTGCAGCCTGCACCTTGAATTGAACAAAAACCTGCAGTGTGAACCTTGAATTGAACCAAAACCTGCAGCCTGCACCTTGAATTGAACAAAAACCTGCAGCCTGAACCTTGAATTGAACCAAAACCTGCAGCCGTTGGCTTCAACTACACTAACACCTGCAGCCTGTGCGCTGGCGTCGCGACACTCACACATCAACACGCCTTGCCCTATCGATATCTCAGGGCCTCTGTTACGAATATTTTTTTCCATTATTTGTATAGCTCCCGACTCTGATTTCTGTCTTGATTCGTTTTTCTAGCGCGGAAGTTCATAGGCTTATTTTGCTACCATTTTCTCGCTGCACAATTTGTCATTGGGGAAGAAAATCACGTTCATTATATGAATGTTTAGTTTCAGTGGTCTGAGAGTTTTAATAGTTTAAACTGTGGTGAATTCGCATTGCAATCCCACATGAATAAAATCTTCTCCGTTACCTTTGTTTTGTTTTCGTTTGAACTATAGAAGGATCTTATTTTATTAGTCCCTAGTCGATTGTTAGTCATGCATGAAAATTGGAAAAAATCATGGTTTGGAACTTTTCGATTATTAGCTCTGCGAAGGCAATCTCTGTACTAATAACTCAATCGTTCGCCAATTATTGTGGAAGCATTTTTTCATTTATTATTATATTATAATCTGTAAAATTATTGTTACAATATATTCCGAACATGTAATTAAAAAAATAATTATTAATCTCATGAAGGTGCCATCTGTAGCCTTGGCCTTGCATTGCGCTATTGTTCGGAACTTGGGTGGACTGTATATATTGGACTAGTATGGACTATATATATATATATATTGGAGCAGTATAGACCATATATATTGGACTAGTATGCCACTTGGCGTATAAACACTATTTTTGAACTTGGATGTACTATACACAATTGAAAATAACGTCTGACCGGCAACTCAGTTGCCTGTAGGCCCGTGAAATAAAACACCGTGTTGCAGCTTTTTTCCGATTTAACACATGAAACTCGTACCACATTTGAAAAGAATGGCCTCAGTTTATTTTACCGGGCGGCTTGCCTATAGAAAAGTTTTTTACCACTATTTTGAACAGCGTGGAATAAAAAAGTCATCAGTATCTTGAGAAAAACTGGCTCCAAAAATAATTGTTTCTATCGTGTTAGTATCAATTACGACGGTTCGACAAAATTACGGATTTAAAGACTTCATTGTGATTAGTATTTAGAACTAAGACGCGAGAAACATTTAAAAAATATTTTGAACTTAATTTCTTTCCGACTGATATGTATATTTGGTCAATACATTATACGTATTTAGAAACGAGGCGAGGAAAAACATCAATAAAATAGAAAAATGACGAATTAAAATATTTTAAAAAGATGGATCCATAAAGAAATTTGAACCACAGACGGCAGCACGAAATTGCAAGTGTTATTTAGTAACTTGTAAATTAATGAATATTTCTACGTCGTAATATGTCGCCATACGGTATGAGTAAAAAATTTTACTCATACCGTACCGAGCTTCCTGCCAGTTCATTTTAATGAGAATGAATTATCAAAAGATATAATATGATCTTCCCAAGCGTAAACGTGGCCTTCAGCATTGCTAATTCCCTCTTGAATTGACCTTTACGGTGGGCCCATGCATAGCAAGAGCGCAGCTGTAAGAATTAGCGTAAGGCTTGATCCGTCCAAGTGTATCGCTATGAAGACAATGTCAAGGATTCACAGCAGTAGTGAAGGAGTGAGACTCAGTGCTCAGTTTTGCACGAAGCCACTCAATGAGGAGCAGGAATATTGCAACTGGAATGTATGGTGATAGATGTTGCGTGCAGGACGATGTATGATCAGGACGGGACGATGTATGAGCTGGGCAAAATAATGCATGATATGTAGGGGACGCTGTATGATTTGCGCGGGACAATGTATGATATGTAGAGGACAATGTACGATATGTGGGGGACAATGTATGATATGTGTGGGACGATGTATGATGTGAGCGAGACGACGTATGATTTGTGTGGGACGATGTATGATTTGTACGGGATGCCGTGTGAAGTTTGCAGTAAAACGTATGAGAAATATCGTATTCTGTTCAGCATGAAGGCAAGCACTTAACCATCACGCATAACCAAGATCATAAGTTTCGCTGCACCTTGTTGCAACAGCACAAGAAATTAGATTTATTATTTTTACGTAGCTTTGCTACCGCGCACTGAGGTTACATATATATTTAGAAGAAGAATTTTCTTAGGACCCTGGCTTTCCCTCCTGCCTCAATGTCCTATTATATGGAGGTGCCACCACCAGGATCCAAAACATGCCGGGCCGAGGCGTGGCAAAGAGTTCTGCATTTTTGTCTTATTTTCAAAAGTTTTTCATTTTGAAACTTTGAAGTGCATAGATACGACATTTGAAAGAAATATTTTGGCGATTGTGAATGATATAGTTAACGACGTACAGTAACGATAATTGCCTGAAACTTACTAGTAAGAATGGAATAGTACATTAACGTAGATTGGTTGATGGATATGAGGAGAACAACTCAAACACGATTCAGTACTGGGCCGAAGGTCTCAACACGAAATTGCTAAGGCGGGAAATTCAGCAACATTCCTGCGTGCTGCATGCTTTCACATTGGCATACATGCGTATATGTGCATCTGTTTGGCCGTTAAAATCGTCCTGTCTGGAATAAATATTAATGGTACTATTTATTTATATTTTCTTATGTCTTCCGTTAAACGTCAATAAAAATGGCAGACACGTCACATCTTTGATAATTATGTACATTTCATTGAATTTGCTCCTGAAATTACAGGTACATTTTGTGTAAGAATTTTAATAACGTTCAACACTACAATATAGAGACGCAAATGAGCAAAACTTATATTCGATGTTATATGTTAATAATGAGAGAAATGATAGAATGTTTAAGGTAAGGAATAATTTCAAGCTCTAAATTAAGTGTAATACATAAAAATAATTTAATTAAAATATTATATAAAAATTAATTCTTAAGTTTAATGCAACGTCATTTGTATTGCGGATTTCTTGCGGTCTATTCGTTTTTGAATTAATATAGTTCATTGCAATTGCATTAGTTGCAATCATTTTTACTTGCTATGGTTATAAAGAGCTGTTAGAATTATATCTAATATTTGAAAAACTCAAAATTGCCAATTGCCGTACTCGTGACTAGATTGGATACAATTTCAACTACCAGAACCACATGTTCACCGTAATAATTCGTTTGGTTTAGAAAAATTACTCAAGAGAATACATTTTTGTGATTTTTGTAACTAATTTAGTTACTATTAAGATTACTAGCATCGTAGAAATTATTTAAACGGAAGAAAATCACTAGTTCGTTACATTTGATTTGAAGCGAAAAATTTCAGCTACTCCGAAACTGGGAACTTATTCATGAATTACAACGGAAAATCTACTGTGCGCGCATTGCAAACTCACACAGATACTTGCAGATCTAGCCTGTGGATACAGAGCATACATGTGATTTATGAGTGAGGCTGGAGTGATCGTTATCATGAATGGTTTCATAAAAATCAAGATACTCTCATAACTATTGATCTGTAGTTCATATAGTACCATTTAGATTTTAGAAGATGATATTAAACAATTTGGTAGCATGGAGCTATTTTGTTGGTCGAGGATTACGATTTAAGGAGGCATTTAAATTTAAAAGCAATTAAAGTTGCAAGGCTGGAGCACTGGTTAAAATGGATCAGTAACGATCGAGTTTCTGCTTGAATTTATAGTGGCCTCAATGAGAAAACATTATTTATTTTGTTAATTTTCTATAATTAATTTTACTTTCATATGAATTATGAGATGTGATAAAACTAAAATATCTGTATCTTCAGCCATTGTTTCAACAATTCAAACACAATTTAGTGTTCAGCTGAGCCATTAGCGCGCCATGAAAACTTTATTGTGGTTTTTACTCTAATATTAATGAAATATCTACGCATTATTATTCGATTTTTTATTCGAATTGCAAAAATTAAATGAGGAGATATGACTCGTGGAACTAGTGTAACTAAACTAACTAATAATAATATCATGTTGCCTGATTTTCTCCAGTTTCGTCGAAATTGGAAACCCTTATGGCGATCGAATTTGTGTCGGAAGATTATAATTACCCTATATTAAACGCATCTCTAAGAAAAATCTCGTGTCTATTCAAGTTCAAGAAAATACTATGAATTTTTTTTAAAATACTGTGAAGTTGTTTTTAACTTCAATAATATTGAACACCTATTGAAAAAAAATTGTTCGATGAGTCCCAGCTCGAATAACATTCCAGAAAACTCCAGCCTCCTCGAAAACGTTAAAAGCTCCAGTGACGTAAAACCGACGTAAAATAATATGTCTACAGTAACGTAAAAACTACGTAAAATAATATGTCTACAGCGACGTAAAAACGACGTAAAATAACATGCCACAACTCACGCGGGTCAAAACGGCGGCAGGAGGTAAAGGGGTCGCCGACGTAGCCGCTCCTGCAGGAGCAGACGGGCTGGCGGTCCCGGGCGGTGCAGTCCGTGTTGGTGCCGCAGATGTTGGGGATGGAGCAAGGGTCGATGCACCTGTTGCTCCTGCACACCTGCTGCGCCGAGCAGTCGCTGTGAACTGTGGGGGGAAATGTGAACTGCAGGGGAAGTGTGCAATGATTGGGGAAATATGGACTGATGGGGGAAATATGAACTGGTGGGGGAAATATGATCTGTTGGGGAAATTTTAAGTGAACTGCAGTGAGAAATATGAGCAGTAGAGGGAAATATGAATTGTAGTGAAAAATGAACTGTAGGGGGGGGGAAATTACATGTGCTAAATATAAACTGTAGGGGGAAAAGTCGTTAAGTGACACCTTATATGTTGAAAGATTTATGCGCCCAAATATTTTATTATAGAATATGTGACAGATACTGTATGTTATTTGAGTTTTTTGCGCTTAACGGCAAAAACAGCCTGCAGTTAATTTTATAGTGATCGAGTTAAGATGGCTGGTCCATTGAATCAAAAAGTAAGCATTGTATTGCAATAAAACCAATTGATCCCTATTTTGACTTTAATATAAATGCATCAAGATTAGTCAAGTAACATAAATATATGAATAAATCATAAACCCAAGCGAGATTAATAATTGAAATAGTGCTAAAATATACATATATATGAGGGAAAAAATTCCAGGAAGTTATTTCAACAATGGTTTCAGTCAAATCTCAAAAATTTATTCTCTCCTGAACTCCTCTGGGGCGGTAAAATTTTAATCAGGGACATAAAATTCCGGTACTATATATTGTACCTATTTAACCGCAAGTTGAGCAATTGGCAATTCTGGGTATTTCAAAATTGAAAGTAATACTCGTATAAAGCGGAAAAATAAAGGGAATAAAGAAGTCCTACGAAGTCCGACCTGCACACTCCTGCCGGACGCACGCCTCTAGCGGGTTGCCCGCGTGTCGCTGCAGACAGGAGCAGACCGCCTGCGCGCCGTTGCTGGTACACTGAGCGTTCGCTCCGCACGGGTTAGGCGTGCACGGGTCAACGTACGCCGGAGTCGGGTCACGTTCTGCTCAGTCAATGATTCAGTCAATGATATTCTAATTGAATGATGCTCAATTATGGTCTAATTGTTAAAATAAGTCACTTTTTAAAGGTACTTTAGATCAAGGAATAACTGGAAAGTTACTTTGTTAATTTTCTTTGCCTGTAGCGTTTGAACATAATTTATTATGACTCGGCTCGGGTATTCACGAACAATGAACATGGATTGGCACAATAGATGGCCGGGTTGCCGAGTTACCGGGCGGGCAGCAGCAGGCGACTGACCTGGCTTGGCACAATAGATGGCCGGGTTGCCGAGTTACCGGGCGGGCAGCAGCAGGCGACTGACCTGGCTTGGCACAATAGATGGCCGGGTTGCCGAGGTACCCGGGCGGGCAGGAGCATTCAGCTTTGTGACGGTATGCCTTGCAAATCGCGTCGATGCCGCACTCGTTCAAACTGCACAAGCGCACGCATTTCGTTGCGGTGCACGCATAGTCGTCGGGGCAGTCGCGGTCACTGCACGAATTACATGCGAGTTTGCATTAGGGTGAAAGAATAACTCGTGTCAGGAAATTCTTCAAATTCATACATGTAGGCTCATGGAGAAAAAATATAACTCAGTACTCACGGCAGTGAGTGACAGAGAGCGCATTTTCTCGTCGACGATAACTTGAGGTCACTGACAGACGGACGGACAGACAGACAGACAGACGGACATGGCGAGCACAATAGTGCATTTTTTACATAAATGAGAAAATGCGCCAAAAAGGAACGAATTATTATATAGGGAACACATATGGAGGTTAAAATTGTCTTAGTCATTGTTTAATTATCTTTAGACATATTTGACTTTTGCAACAAAAAGACACGAGCTTATCATTGTAGCCACGTTTCATTACAAATATGAAGCAAATTCTAGAAGAATAATCTAGTGTCCCCACAAAGAGAGGCTTGGGTGTGTTTAACTCAAGTACAGAAAATCCAAAATACTTGGAAGAGTGGGAAAGGGGACAATTCAACTCTTATACCTTTGACTTTATCTTCTGTAATTCGAATGGATAATTCCTGTTTCGATTCGCTTGTGCTATAATATGGTATCATCGGCTCTTGCGGTAACTAATAGCAGCTTAATCGAACAATATATCGACTGCACAATACACGTTATTCAAATTTCATTAGTTATGCAACCAAATAAATAATAAGAGTATATAATCAATTTGTAAAGTCTATTCACCTGAGGCACTGGGGTTTGCAGCCGCGGATGGTATGTTGGTCTGGCACAAAGTTGGGCTGGCACCGACACAGGGCGATGTGCTGGGAGTTGACCTCACACAGCGTGTTGGGGCCACACGGCGATGGCGTGCAGGGGTCGCTGCTGCCGATGTAGTTGGACTCGCCCACGGGGGATGGCGGCCGTGCTGCTGCTGTGGTTGTCGAGCGAGAGATCGGCGGTAGAGACACGCGGGGTGCTGGACAAAAATAGGCATTAGAAGTAAACTAGAAACAGGCAATAAAAGTGAAAAACAGGCACTAAAAGTAAATAAAGGTATTAAAAGTAAAGAACAAACAGGCATTAAAAGATAGGAACAGGCATTGAAAGTTAAAAAACAGGTATTATAAGTAAAAAAAGGCGTTGAAACTAGAAGAATACTATGAGCATTAAAGTTCGTGGATAAAAGCAATCATCCAGCAAAATCCATAAGTGACAGGAACTCTAGACGAGCTAGAAATGATGGACTGAAATAATTAGAAATCGTAATTAAGAAGATAAAATTAGTTATCAATACAAGCACATATTGTGAATGTTAAATCTGAGGACGAACTATTGTCTGGGCTCTAGGCCATGCATTGACTTGAACAACAGGTCATAAACAGAAACAAATATGGAATTTTAAAATGAAAGTGAGCAATGTGAGGGCGAGAAGAAAAAGAAGTAAATGATGGAAATTACTTATGAAAAAATGATTAAAACGGTGAATACTGGCAAAGCTGAAATATTGGAAGATGAAATGAAGAATAAATGATAAAATACAATGTTTGATTTAATTTAAAGCTTAAATCAGCTTGTGAGCGGAACATTTTAGCACAAAGAATTAAATTTAAAACATCCGTGAAATGATCAAGGGTGCAGCTACTATTGTGGAATGTCACGTCTTTTTAATATTTTGTTAAATTTACGAAGTTTAGGTGCCTAATGATCCAACCTAAACGATTACTGCAATTGACTAAACTAAAAAACTATTTAAACGAAAATTATAATTCAAATTCTATAGAAATAATTCACTAATGCAAAATTTAATGGCCAAAATGTAACCGAACTACATGAACGAACCGAACTCGTAGAGCGGCGCTATGGGCAGCAGAGGAGCGGACGGGTACTGGAACGCTGTGGAGATGAGATTAATTAACCTAGACAAAAATGTATCCGTAAATAATTAACTTCAAAGTTAAATAATTTAAGTATAAACAACTATTGAATTACTGTACTAAGCAGGTCGTTATTGTATTATAAATACACGAGACTTTTTCCTAATATACCGGTTTAAAATGATCGATGCAAGTTTATTCTGTACTATACAAGAACATACTGCGCGATACAAGTCAATACTGTAACATACAAGAACATACTGTACTATACAAGTATATACTGCACTATTCAAGTATATACTGTACCATACAAGAATATACTGTGCGATACAAGTCTATACTGCACCAAGAGCTACAAGTATATACTGTACTATACAAGAATATACTGTACGATACAAGTCTATACTGCACTTTACAAGAAAATACTGTACGATACAAGTCTATACTTTACTATACAAGGATATACTGTACAATACAAAAATATACTGCACTGTCATGGACGTCTTACAGCTGAGCGGCAGCGCCCTCTGGCCTGTGGCACTCCCGCACACCAGGGCTGCCAAGACAAGAGCTGACAACTGCATCGTGACCTGTCAGACAAGAACAGACCTGACAAGAGAATTGTAACCAGGCTGTCAAGAATAGAGCAGACAAGTGAATAGTGACCTGCCTCACATGACAAGAGTTGACAAGTGAATCGTGACCTGTCTGACAAGAACAGACCAGACAAGATAATTGTAACCAGACTGACAAGAATAGAGCAGACAAGTGAATCGTGACCTGCCTGACAAGATGTGAGCTGACAACTGCACCAGCTTGCTAATAACATCTGCTCAATTTTGATCCAATGATTTTGCGGCATGAGATAAAACAAAATTTGACGTGGTACAGCGAGAATACGAATGAGTAAACAGATACCAGACAGAATTGTAACCAGGAAAGTCGATTGTATTGTATCTATTGCTCAATATGTATTCAGGTGTTGCTGGTTGCATCGCGTGTCTCGCAGGAGTCTATCTCTTACATTAGTCACTTCAAGACGAGTAATGCATCATGCACGATGGTCGTTATAATGCCTTGAACACGAGCCCTAGCTGCCCAAACATGTCGCCTCTTCAATATAGCGTTCCTTATTAGACAGTCGGTACCATCGCACACCCTAACACGATGATGTCTTATTACTCATATATTTTCTACGAGCTGTATTTCCACGAACTTGAATGAATATCAACACACTTGTGTATTGTTTGACTGCAATGCTCTAAAGATATGACTCTTTCATATAGATTTAAGTCTTTATACTTCTGTGCTTCATTTAATTATGAAATATTGTGTTCCGGAATAAACAAATAACAACACAGAAAACGATTTTGAAGCAGATAAGTGAGGGAATAATTGGAATACCCAATTTAGATCGCATATGGCCTGGCATGCCTGGCCACCGTCACTTTGATTTAAAAGATCACCAAATTCTAAATATAATTTATGATATGGTTCATCTAGAAAAATATCCTAAATCCAGATGAAGTGAAGTTGATTCTTCCTTCAATACGTTAACACAGCAAATTATTATTCCTCTTTTAGTTAGCGTACTCGCCGATTAATTTTTTAAATTCTGAGCAGCAAACGGCGGAACTAATTTAAACAAATTATATTTACTAAATTCCGATTATAAAAACTTTTAGGTGTTGCATTCAAGGGACAAGGCTGTTTTCTGTTTACATTCTCAGCTCGGAACTAGCTTACATTAAATGGCATGATTCGGCCATGCATGAGCTTACGCGCTTATGTCGTAGCCGCGTAAATAATTCTAAACGACAAGTGCCTAATAGGAGGTAAAAAGGAGGTTCCTATTTACCGAAGTTTGCTGACAAATATTCGATATTTCGCGAAGAAATTCTGAGGAATTTAATTCTAATGAGGAATTTAAGTTAACGTTTCAAATTCTAGCGTTGCCTCAACCGTTTAAATTAAGTGAGTGCACTTCTTATCACTGCGATGAGTGCGGTGCATACGTAGCTCAAATTAACATTGTTTCGACTTGAAATGTGGCATGATGCTTACTTGAAAATTAAGTTAGAAAACCGCCGGTAAATTTTGTTTATTGACTCATGATTTTCTTGCAACGGAAATGAGGCAAACACGTGACGTCATTTGCTTTTACTCCCATGCTCAGTTTTACATTTCTGTCAAGTGATAAAATGGTCTCCTCGTCGCACCTCTCGTGGGCCTCTAGCGTATGCCTCCAATAAATAACAATGAAAAACAACCGCTGGTTAAAGACGCGGCTTAAACATGTTTCGATATTTCTCTAATATTTAAAGATATACATACGTCTTCTATTTATTGCATCAAAAAATCCCCGAACATAACAGCTATTCAACCAGAAAAACGCAGATGTTCAAATGTACAAATATTGTTGAATATAACCGCAAGCAAAATGGAGAGCTCGACATGAGTGAGGAGTGGCTAGTAATGATCTGCACCCATACAGTACCACGTGATGCAATAATAAACATATTGAAACATCAGTTAAATAAACATTGATAACTGTGATGCCAAGAAAGATGATAATCACTTCAAATCTATCCAATCAAGCTATAATATTTCTAACAAATTAATGTGCGTAAAAAATGTTATAAAATATTATAAAAATTCTGAGTACATTTCAATGGAAAGAATGCGATTGCGATTCGAATTTTCCGGGTTAACTAAAATTTGAATTAGATCCATATTATAAGTATCATATTAGATGAATTATATTTTTAGAACACGAACTAGTGTTCATCGTATGATTTTATGTCACTTCACTGACGTTGAATAAGTTTGTTCATTATATACTGTCACTGAAGTTGAATAAATTTCTTCATTATATACTGAGCTCACCTCAGTTAGTTGCTGGTGCTGTGAAGCTCAGAGCTACACTGACGCCTGACTCAGAGCCTGCCGCCGGTGTCTATACCCCCACACAGGATTACTATACTTACTTGATCCTGCAACAACTTGACGCAGTTCAACATGCAATGCTTTTTGTGCGTCGCTAGAGACAGGAGAAGATGTCTGAGTCATCTTCAGTTCGAGGGCCGAGGGGTTTTGCGAGTTACAGGAACTGGAACCATTTGACCTTACAGGTTATAAGGCTGTTGTTAATTACAGGTTAAAAGGCTGTTGCTAATTACAGGTTAAAAGGCTGTTGTTAATTACAGGTTAAAAGGCTGTTGTTAATTACAGGTTAAAAGGCTGTGGTTAATTACAGGTTGAAAGGCTGTTGTTAATTACAGGTTAAAAGGCTGTTGCTAAGTGCAGGCTGAAAGGCTGTTGCTAATTACAGGTTAAAAGGCTGTTGGTAATTACAGGTTAAAAGGCTGTTGCTAATTTTTTGTCAAAAGACTTCAATTATTGTTCTTAGGTAAACCGACTGCAATGGACGCAGCGTAGTTTCTATATTGTGATTACTAAACTATTTTTATTCATCATAATATACAAAGCTAGACTACCTGTCATGTAGAATCTATCGCAAAATAATACTCTGCGACTGCAGAAACAATTGAACTTTAGGGACAAAGGTTCACTCTGTCATTTTTGTAAGTTTACGATTAACAATCACCTCCTATAAATAAATTATTTTACGAAGAAGTACATCCAATAACGAAGAAAAAAAGAAAAACAATATATGATAGCCTTAAAGCACTTCTGCGAAAATTTTTGTACTTAATACTGACGGAATAAACCGTAATGATTATACAGGGTGCACAACAAAGTGAAAAAAAATTAATTTGGATGACAATCACCATTAGATTTTTAGATCATCATCTGACATAAGAATATTGAGTAAGGAATGAAATATAAAATGGCCTTCATGTTGTAGCGGTTGCCCCGGAAGTCAGCACAAGATATGGCATTGAGGTTCAGTTTACGGAACTTATCCACCGATGGTAAATACACTCAAGGAGGCAAGACCTTGAATACCACAGCACATGTTGGATACTACTGTACAATACCGTGGGCAGTGCAATCATTGAGCAATGGAAGTTTGATTAACATTCATTCGGGCGCCTGAGAACATTGTTTATTAAGGCCGACGGTGTGCAACATTACAGTCAAGAATAAAGTGCAGTATGCATCGTGATTCTCACTTACTTTGAAAGAATTTTTCACCCTGCACGAGATTTGGCGCATATAAATGACGTTAAATTTGATATAAAAATGGAATTTTTATACGTGCTCCTAATTACTTCACACATATTATAATTATTGCAAAATTGTTGCACCTAATTTATTTTTATCACATGAATAATAAACTGTGAAGCTTCTTAGTAAAAAGTCACAAATCAGAAGAAGTTATTCTTTTTACCTGACCACGAAGAGATAAATTCAACGACCGGATACCTCTGTTATCATTTGCCTTATTGTGTACAATGCTAATAATCTCAGACGAAAAGTGTTACCACCACTGCATGTGTCTGGAACCTTGGAAATAAATATTTACTGGCCACATTGCAGCTCCATCTTCAGTGCTGCACATCCCACGTTTTTTGTGCTGCCGCGTTTCGCACACGCAGCTTGCGTGCCCCTGGAGTTGCTACACGAAGTGAACCTCTGGAAGACGCGCTCCAACGACGCCCACACTGGGCAGCCACCTACACTGCCACGCCCTTTATAGTGTAGGTTTTCTTGTCTTTTATTGTTTATATGTAATGCAATGATGGCGGATGCAATACCTCTAATTTACCTGTAATTTGCCTGGAGAATATAATGTATACACTACTATTGTTGAACGACGTTGAGAGTATACCTTTTTTTAGGCATTGGGTGGGGTGGATGAAGGTTGATGTAAATTCTCTGAAAAATTTATTAAAAAAACGCATTGAGAGCTACTTCGGATCTCCCACTTCTATAATTGCATTCAATGAATTAGCTTCTCTTGTGATCCTTAAATTAACATCTGTGCTCTTAGATAAAGAGCATTGCCGATTACAATAAAAAAATCATATTTTCAAGACTGGCAGCACTGAAAAATATCACACTTTGTCCAATTAGCCTAAGTGATATTCTAACAATTTATTTTAGTCGAGATATGTCCGCTTAGAATAAAATTCTACAGTCTCTTACTGAAGGCCAATTATGCATTCACCTGGATGCATCACCATTAAAAAGGCGTCTGCACCACTAGGCGTCGACGACATAGAAATCTGCAAACAATGATTGTGCATATCGTCATAAAAAGCTATTGTGAATATGGGCGGATTTATGTTACCACTTGGCTGTAGATAAATCAATGCTAGGGATTCTACCCCAAACGGGGTAAATTATGCATTTTAAATTGGTGTGCATTTTAAATTATTTTTTAGAATGATTTTGTTATTTACACTCATGGGAAATTTTGTTTGCATAAACAGAAACGTAACCCTTCTGTTTACAATTTAACGAAGAAATGAGTAAGGAAGTTGCCTCTATTTCATCTTCACCTCTGCCCGAAATGGGCTATGGAGTTTTTTTCTTCTACCGAGATATCATCAAAGTTTTTTCCCAACGGCTAGATGCTTGGATTTTTTCCGTACTATTTCAAATTAAATAGGTTTCATAGAAAGGCTGTTAGGCAGCGGCTTTGTTTCAATAGAAATAATTTAATTGATTGTTAGTGTCTCTAGTTTTCGACACCGTTGCTGAATTTCTTCGTGTTTGCCTGGTTGATTTAGGGTGTTTGTTAGTTCTTGCTAGCAGTGTTTACTAAAGATTTTATTTTTTAATGAGAGGAATGATTGCATTAATTATTTCTGCTACATACCAGAAAAATTTCAAAAGCACACATAGTCATTGACGGAGTATGAAGAGAAACAGAGCAATGTTTGAATTATTTAAATATTTTGAGGATGACTTACGACTTGTAGACTGGAGTTATGTAACCAAACATGCCCGCAGCTTGCGCAGTTATAGTAAAACAATAAAACAACATTTGGTCATGATCTAACATGTATCACATTCTCCATTAACCATACTTGATTATAATTACCTCGAACTACCGAAAGCTTTCAAGTATCAATGAAATCCACTTAGCTTCTACTACATGCTTCCTTGAGTTCACTTGATCTTGATTTATATTTCTCTTCACAGTATAGCCGGTAAGACTTGTTTCGCGATGCGTTCGTGCCAAGTTTGGTATCTGATCTTGGGCTGGATTGGACGAGCTAAGAGACAACGCCTTCGACCTTGCAAACTGCCAGTCCGGCTTCCCTTAAAAATATAGACGACTCGGGCGTGGGTGGAGGACCCAGCTATGGTGCTTCGTAAACGAGGCTACGGGCCTTCAAGTGTGCAGCCTTATTAACTGACGCGTGAAAATAACGTGATAGGCCTTAAATTATGAAGCCTAATTTACTGCCATTCACTTAGAAATAACGTAATAGACCTTCAATTGTGAAGCCTCATTTACTGTCACTTAAACATAACGTAATAGACCTTAAATTATGCTGCCTCATTGCCTGTCACGTAAAAATAACTTATAGACCTTCAATTGTACAGCCTTATTGCCTGCCCCGTAGAAATAACGTAATAGACCTTAAATTGTCAAGCTTCATTTCCTGTCACTTATAAATAACGTAATAGACCTTCAATTGTGAAGCCTATTAAATGACGTGTTGAAATTAACAATCATTCAATTGTACAGCCTTCTTGCCTGCTACGTAAAAATAACGTACTAGACTTAAATTGTGAAGCCTCATTTACTGCCACGCAGAAATAAATTTATAAACCTTCAATGGTACAGCAATATTGCCTCTCGTGTAGAAATAACGTTATTGGCCTTAAATTGTGAAGCCTCGTTTACTGTCACGTAGTGACACTTTAACTTTATAGACCGCCAATTATACAGCCTTCTTTACTGCCTCATAGGAAATATCGCTCTAGTGCTTCTCGTTGTAATGGATCAGTCCCAGGTCGTGGCAAGGCACACCAACTAATTTCTTTGCTACTTTTCTTTTAAAGCACAAACGAAGCTGCAGGCCTAAACATGCCTCACATACGCGCATTATATTTTTGTCGCTTAAAAAAACAATAATACAATTTAATAATTTTTGTTGCTTAAAGAAACAACAATTGAATGGCACGAAACGGGGCTTCAAATCCTCTGCATGCCATGCACGAAAAGAGTATTCTGTTTTTATTATTCATTATAATATTGATTAGTATTTGCCCTCATTTTTATTTGCTCTATTTAAAAAAAAAGTACTCGGTTGTAACCTTCATCGAATTGAGTATTCGAGTTTAAATTTCTAGGTTTTCCTGCATAAAACCGAATAGATTTCGAAGGAAATCATTTATCTCCGACACAAGGACTACTACACACAGGACATGCATAGCCTATGTCCAGCCTCTGCTAGCAGAGGCGATCGCCTACACTATGAAAATGCTGGTGTTTTAGTGGCATCAACAAATGATATGCCCATAATTGTTTCATACAATAGTATTACAATGTGTGTAGTAGTCCTTGGTCAGAACCATAGACTTTTTGCCAGTTTTGAAGTTCAAAATTATTTTGAACTTCAAAACTGGCAAAAAGTCTATGGTTCTGACCAAGGACTACTACACACATTGTAATACTATTGTATGAAACAATTATGGGCATATCATTTGTTGATGCCACTAAAACACCAGCATTTTCATAGTGTAGGCGATCGCCTCTGCTAGCAGAGGCTGGACATAGGCTATGCATGTCCTGTGTGTAGTAGTCCTTGCTCCGACATTATTGCTTCATTTATTTGGTTAATCAATACAATTAATATTCACGTACGCCTTCTTCCATAGTTAAGTTGGAATTAATTCATGAACGTTTTTCCAAACAAAATTTTTAAAGTTATTTTACTGTCTAAGAAAAGGATATGGGATCTGTGCCAGAGCAGTGTGATAACGCGGGTTGTTCATTTTCGACAAATTTTTTAAAATAAATTTAGACTTTAATTTTAATCCACAATGGATGAGCAAATAGCAGAAAGAATCTGATCACGAAATGCAACCTAATCGCCTCTTCGAGGATCACACTTAACTACTTAATGAATTTTGAGTTTTGGATTCTTAAGCCAGGATGCATAATATTTTTTACCATTAAAGCAATGATAGAAAAATATAACTCAGTACTCACTGCAGTGAGTGGCAGAGAGCGCATTTTCTCGTCGACGAGAACGTGAAGTCACGGACGGACAGACAGACAGACGGACAGACGGACATGGGGAGCACAATAGCACCTTTTTTTCCATAAATGAGAAAATTCGCTAAAAATTAATTATATTCTCTAATTATAAATTAAATGCTTTAAATGCTTTTTGACCGTATATTAATAAAGCTAGATAAAATTAATTAGCTTTATTTAGGCAAGCTAGATAAAAATTAATTAAATGATTTAATTAATGCTCCAGCCAGATGAAGCAATACATCAAGTCTTGGTAAAATTTTAAAGCACCAACGCATCCTCGCGAGGCAACATGGAACAATTTAAAAGTAAACATGGCCGAAAATGGGGGAAATTCAGCAGCTTTTAACATGGAGCTCTGGATTTCTTACTTTAACAAACAGGAAAATTTCTAGCTTCACACAACTAAGATTCATGCTCTCGAGATAATTTCTGTATATATGCAAAAACTTGAAAATGATTCTAAAAAACACACGAATGCGACGAACCAACTTTTTTAGATCTTCACGGCCTTGGAAGTCAACCAGTAAATAATATGCGTTTGAAAATTACTTTTTAAAGACAACACTTCTAAAGAATACAGCGTCTCCGGAGTCCGATGTTACACATCTACAATGAATTTCAAATTTAATTTCCAAATTTAAACAAAATTAATTTTTACATTTTTTTATATACGAAAATTTTTTTTAATTTTCAAAATTATTTATTATGTCGATTCATGCATTGTCTCCAACTTTGCGCAAGTGTGCAAAATTTCAGATCGATTGGAGAGGTAGAAGTGTGTTAAAAATCTATTTTAAGATTTGTTGCAGACAGACAGACAAACAAACAAGAAGTGAAGTTAGAGAGAAGTGTTATAAAAACAAAATAATTTTGAACGCTAATCCCGAATTGATTAAATAACCCACACTTATTTTATTACTGTTAAAACTTTTCAACTCGTCAAAATATCTAATGGATTAATTATATCACTATCAAGCTTATTTCTTAATCGGCGTTAATCTGAGGGGCGTCAGGTTGCGAACATGAACAAAATTAATAAGATTAAAAGGCTTAAGAAACAAAATTTTACAAATGACATTTAATTTAAAAATTATAAATAGATTCGTCTTGCAAAAGGTGTTCAAAGCATTCACATAAACGATGTGTCGACGATGGATTGAATTTTTCTACCATAAAAATAAATTGACGAACAAGTGCTTGTGTAATTAATATTCTCTGAAGGATTGCTTTTTACGTGGATTAAGTGAATCTTAAATAAATTATGATTTAATTGGCTTCAAATTGTTACACGAGGATAATTAAGGCAAATATTTCATCAAAATTTAAAAGTTACGTATTTTTATATCTGCTATTTTGTGGTTGTGGGCGCTTTACAAAAAATACAATGTTGTGTTCAGCGCTCAAGAAGCACTTGGTAAACGCCCATCTTGAACATTTCTCTTTGTTACTTATTCAATGCGATTTATGAATATTATTTTAAAACAAAATATCACTAAAACACTAAAAAAGTTCATAGAATCACACTGTCCATCCTCGAAATAACCCACTATTATAAAAATTCCTATCAGTCCAAAATTCCTTTTCTCATTAAAGTGTCTTGTTCTGCAGGACAAACTACCCATTTGATGGGTGATGTTTTCACCCGTCGGGAGGTTATTCCTCAGGGGGATAATTGCACGCAGATTTCACCCGTCGGGAGGCTATTCCTCAGGGGGATAGTTGCACGCTGAGTCTTGTCGGGTGCCTTTCAGCTTACCCACGGGAACACCAGCTTCCTTCAACGCAAGCTGACACAAACCGATCTGTAAACCAAATTACGTAATGAAAATGTCTTACTTTTTATTGAAAAATAAAAAAATTGTCCTTAGTGTAAAGTCTCAATGCTGCTTGTTTCCATTTTATTAAAAAAAATGAATTCGTGCAAAGTCTGATCGATGCTTGTTTTCATGCCACATAAGACGAGCAACTCAGTGAAAAATAATTTGTCACTGAAAAGGTCCTGTTTTTGCGTTCCCACAAAAGTCCTGAAAAGCGGAAAGTCAAGAAATTGCAAAAATTCATGCAATTTTTGACAACGAGCTCATATCAAAATAATTTATGATAGGGTATTTTGCACGACAGATAAAAATTATATGTGTATTAATGGAGGTAGCAGTCAAAAACTTTGGAAAATACGCCACAAGTTCTTAATTGAACCCATTATTGAGTCTGTCCGGTGAAAGTGATAGAACATTAAAGAGCAAGCAACATATTTCATTGCATTAGGCTTTATGAGCTCGATATTAATGCTGCTCATTATTAAGTTCAAACGTGTTCAAATCAATTAGATAACTTGTGAATACAAATCAAATAAACACTTAGAACATGAATAGGTCATAGTGTTCAAATAGTGACAATTTTATTTCCCACAGCACTAGCAGAGTCTAGACGTAGACCTGATACTCTCTTTCCCAGCCCAAACTGTGTCAGGATGCCACGTTGAAGGGCTAAAAGTGCATCGCATTTTGGAAAAACCTGAATAATTTGTCTAAGTGAAGATTTTTAAATCGAGTTTTAGTGACACAAAAAAAGGCATAGTTCACCTCCCGCTTGTCGAGTTTGGGCTGGCGCGACATGATCCAAGCGAACTGCGCGAAGTGGGTACCAGCGATATCGGTGCAGGAGTACAGACACGCGTACGAAGTGTAGTCCGTTTCGAGTATTTCCAGCTTCACGGGGCGATCTGTGGTCGTAGAAAACCGGGACTTGAAAATTTACTGCGAGTTGTGACGGCAAAAAATTTTTATCTTACCAGTATGCTAACTTTCTTGGTATTTGTTACATTACTAGTGGTATAAGATCTTTGATTTTAAATTAGGCCTGTGAAGATGCACTAATCTCCGGTCAGGTCTTATCAATACACTAGAAAGTAAACAATTCATTTTGCATACCAATTTCATTCCTCCGGTCTGGCCTTTTTTCAACCTCTCGAAACAATAAATATTATCGCTCCAATTAATGGAGTTTTTCCCTTCGGATGGAAGAGATAAATTTATATCCTTCAAGGTGGTTTATGTTTAAATTGATAGTGCTAATACAAATATAGTATTTATGTCGAGCGCTAAATATTTAATCTTAAATTTTGGAAAATTTGGCATCAATCGCGAGGTAACTAAATGGGACATTTTAGAAATGGGAAATGTTGATCGAAGAGTATGTAAACTGAGGCAATGATGAGTGGTTCATGAATAGATTGAATGTCATAAAGGTATGCGGCTGTTCACTGTTTAATCAAGGGGACTGAGGTAGGGACGGAGTAAGATAACTTTTATGCAAATAATATTGTTAGTAAGAATTGCGTTGACTTGAAAATGTGAAAAAGAAATCATGAAAATTCGTATTTCGGTGATGGACAGTGTTGAACGGGCGACCACCTATCGCGAACGAGGCCCTTGTCTTAAAATTAATTTTAACTTTCTCCTAGCCACTACAGAGGCACTAAAATCCAATCGAATTACGATGATTCTCATATAATATCTGTGAAATATTGGCAGCGAGCTCACTATTGGAGGTGAGGCCAAAGGAGCCCACAGTGAGGTCGTCCATGGTCATGGGGGTGACTTTCCTGGTAAACTCATCGATGTGGTCCAAGCCTTGCGACACCATGTCCATGCCGGTCCCTGCAACGACAAAACACTTAGTATATTGCGACACCATGTCCATGCCGGTCCCTGCAACGACAAAACACTTAGTATATTGCGACACCATGTCCATGCCGGTCCCTGCAACGACAAAACACTTAGTATATTGCGACACCATGTCCATGCCGGTCGCTGCAACGACAAAACACTTAGTATATTGCGATACCATGTCCATGTGATGGTGGATGGTGTATTTCAGTCAAAGATTTCCAGCTTGCGTAGCTGCTCTCATTCGTTAGAATTCGTTCGCGCCGTAAAACATCGTAAATAATTGAAACCATTTCATTTATCTACTTATATATATAATACAACGGTAATATTTACAACTGCACAAGGTAAATTTAAAGCATTAAAAATAATTAAGGCCAGGGTGGCCTAATGGTGACAGTTCAGAGTATCAGGATTGTAGCAGAGAGGTGCGGGTTCGATCCCAGAATCGGCAAGGCGGTCCCAGTCGGTTAAGCAAAAGCCTTACTGGAGTTGCGGTTCGAGACCGCAACAAGCTGTGAATGTTCTGTGATGTTAAGAATTGGCGACAGGCCTACGGCCAAATGAACGCTGAAATCGCTATTATTTTTATATTAATCCTCGAAGTCACAAGATCCTTGTTTCCCAGTTTTCGGGAAACTTCATGTTTTAATTTTGACCTCTCTAAACATTAGGTGTTTCGAGCTAAGCCTTTTCTAATGAACTTCTCCAAACTGATGGGCTTGGGACTTTATCGAATTACATAAATTACCAGCCACGATTATGTTAATGGCAGCCTGACATTTTGTTTTTATTCCCGATAATGCTTTAACTAATTCCGATAACATTTTAACTAATCGCTACCTCCAACTCTGTAATCCAGTGTGGTGCATTTAACGGCCTTCTCCTCATCAGGGTTGCGGATGCCTCCAATGCGGAACCAGCGTCCAGTAAACTGTAAGAGAAGAGAGGCTGTGAACGTTTTCTTCTACCCAAAATTGTATTATGAAATATTTGGAGGTAGAAATAATTTTTGAATTTTAAAAATAGATGTCCGTTTGTGTTTAGGAATTTGTTTTTTGCTAATATTTTTGTACGTGGTTTTATACATTATTGCGTGGTGTACTCATTAAAAATAAAAATTCATGACGATAGCAAAAGGTAAATCAATCTAAAATTATTCGAGTACACGACAGGCGAGCATTATAGTCAAAATATCCGCTTCACAGCATTAGAGAATTCACTGAATTCAGCTGGCGCTACATTCGACCATCTTGCCTTCACACCAAGCAATCTATTCATTATGATGAAGCGGAAAGATGTCTTTAATATTATGTTATATTATGGGTTTCAATGTTTCATTTTATAATCTAATGCTAATTAAAATAGGGCGACAATTACGATAGGTTATGGCCCAAAATTAGAACAAATGCTAAACAGTAGCCATTGCACTTCTCTGGTACACAATGTAGTGGGTGAAGTGTTTTCGTCTCGAATTTATCACGTGAGGTTAATAGAACTTTTCTACCGTCCCGCCATCTGGCGGAAAATGTACAAGTTAGACATAATGTTTTTTTTTGCCTGTTTGCCTACAAGATTTAGAAACGCGTTTTATTTTTGCGATCGCACAGAGAATCGGCCAAGTATCCTATCAAAAAAATGTAATGATAACAAAATATTACATCCGTAACGTTTTGAGTTTATTCCTTGGAATTAAATTACAAATTATCTAGGGCGCAAATTGCGTCATGCAGATGCTTAATCGCCTATAATTATTGCTGCACTTCAGCCTTTTTTTTATCGTGAAACCGAATGCTAAGCGTTAAATAACAGCATGAGGTATGACAATGACATTAATTGGTGACAATCAACCAATCCACCAAACACGAGCTCATAGAAATAAGTGATAGTTTGTCCAAACAGGAACCTACTTTTCGAAGTTGTATGGGTCATTCTGACCCAGTTTAGCCTGGCTATAGCGTGCATTTATACTACGCTCGCTCCCTACTCGTGTAATAAAGTGTGTTACTAAATGAACAATATGATCCATTAATTTATCTGACTGCACGCAGCTCATCTCCTGCCAACAACTCTTTCTTTCTTTCTTTCTTATTCTGGAAACTCTTTCTTATTCTTCTCCTAGCACTGGAAACTAGTCCATAAAGCCCCTTGCCTAAACTGGGTTTAAAGGGTACCTAACTGTTTAACAGCTCTGAAAGTGAAAATCAGTAAAACGTGGTAAAGGGAAAGCGTAAATTCCCTGCCAACAACTCACCTTATTTCTGTCAAAGCCGGAGAGCGGCTGGACGCCCGTCTTGCAGCTTCCGCGTTTCAAGAAAGACGGACTGTCATTCGCGGCCGCTAGGCCTACAAAAACCCTGTAAAAAGAATTCCGAATCACAATAATGCTGATACCGCATTATAATATAATAACTGTATGATACAATGCATGATAAAGTGGCACTTAATAATATTATATAAAGTAAGAGGTTTCTTAGTGAAATTATTCGCATCGACGTCATCTTGGCTTGGGATCAAGTATATGTGCAGTACATTTCGAGCCAAACAATATTAATAAGCATAACTGTGATAAAAAAATTTAGAAATTAGTCATGCATAGGCACGATATGAGTAAAAATAATAAAAAATTGCAACTTACGATAATAGAAAAAAGTCCTTCTATTATAATATTAAACAAAGTCTTCGACGCTCGAGACAGATCTTAGACACAGAATTTAGGAATTTATAACTAGAATTTAGCGCTCCTGTCGACCGCGATTGACAAGCCACGATTAAAATCATCGAAGTTCTTGCATCAAAACTCGCGTGTTGAATTCTTTGCCATTTCTCGAGACCGGCTGTAAAAACTGGCGTAGCCACACTAAAGGGACGACGTGGCAAATTTGGCCATTGGCTGGGTAAATACAGCGGCTTGTATATACTCAGAAACATGAATGAGTCATATTGTCCATATGGTGACGCACGTTCTGCACACAGCACTAATACAGCCAATCTGGGTCAGAATGCTCCGCAAAGGAGCAAATAATGCATCGATATTTTGACAAAGCCTCACGCAGTTATCTGGTTGGGCTACGTGTTTTCTGCATCAAGGTCTCGAAAACTGGACAAACCTCACCATATTCAGCTGAACGGCATCCATCGTGAATCCTGTATTTTATTAGTATTTTATTATGTTTTAGATGAAAATTTCCCTTAATAGGAGATAATTTCGATCACACGAAACGACAGTATTAATTAATTAAAGTACTTAAATTGAAAATTTAAATAGAAAAGAAATTCGGCGTTTACAAAAATTCTAATGTGGCACAAAGTTCTAGGTCCTCTACTTAATACAGGAAATCACCTCGGTTATGTAATAGATAACCGCTATGGGTACACAGTAAATGCAGGCAATTGGTGTTCACTATTGGGGAGCACATCTTGCGAGCTCCCAGGATTTAAAGAATCACTGCGAATAGTTTCAGTTTTTTGTAGATGTAAAATGCCAATATATCATCTTGATACGCGGCTAAGATTTTATAGAGATACCCGGTTAAATCAAGGTCCTTATAAAGCCCAGTTTCTTCTACGTTCGAATAAAAGGTCAAGGATGGATTCACAACCACATTGAAATCGGGATATTTGATGGCTGTCTATGGTTAAATCAAATATTATGAAAATAAAAGCTTATTTAGACAGACTAACTTCATGCTGCTGAAAGAAACGGCTCACGTTAATATTCAATCATTTATTAAACACAGATCAAACACGCGAAAGCAACTTAATGCAGAACAATTTTCAGGATGATTTCAACCTGCGTAAGGAGACTTCAACGCGTATTAAGTGGTGATCTAACACCAGTGGTGACCAGCGACTGTTACACTTTACACCGACTATCCCTTTGAGAAGTCAACAGGTAAGATATCCCTTGTTCTATTTCTCGAATTGTGCACAAAATTTTTGAATTTAATTTTCTGTTGTGAAAGTTTCTAGATTAACTTCTCTTAACCATTACATCCTACATCCGCGTCAGGGTCAAATCCCGTCGGAATGTTATTCAATTCTTTAGTACTTATTCGTTCTTTTCTTACTCGGTGAAAATGTTCAGGTTAAATTTGTGTGCAGTTTGTCCAAGTGCAATCGTGGGCGAGAAATTGAATTGAAATTTCATATTTTAATTTTGGACTTTCATTTGAATTTTTAAATTAAAATCTGTGACTTTGAGAAACTAGTGAATTTTTGAAATTTGCTCGCAATTTTGACATCATATATGAAATTGTTATAAATAAATGTATTGTAAATTTTATGTACTTTTTCATGAAAGAAGTTAAAATTTCTAACTTAATATTATCAATTTATTAAAATTAATCCGTGCGTAATTATATAAGCTGCCAAATTTTTTATAATGAAATTTTTTATTGTAGTTTGTGAAGCTGGGCTGAAAAATCTTTGGATTAATAAATAAATATGTACTCATTAGGGCGATTCCGATTATTTATTTTAGTAAATCTTCAACCTTTTTGCCACTTAAATTGTTTGTAAAACACTACTATACCTAAATGAAGATATTCACAGAAGAATGCGATGCTTTGATTTAAATCACTAAATCGATTATTTGAATTGATTTTTCATCCTTATGACTGTAGAAATATTTCCTGGATTCCACGAACATATAAAGTTTAGTGATCAAGATAATACCAGTTTTTTTAAAAAAGTTAGGGCAAATTAAAACGAGATCGTTCACGACATTGAGTGGGCGATAATGGTAACTAGTAGAATGTGAACCAACGAAGCGCTCACTTCAAGGTTTTGCGCGCAGCAATGCATATGGGGCACTAAAGTTTTAACAGTACAGGTTGCCAAAATGAGGGTTTTTATATAATTATTTCAGCAAAATATAGTACACGAAAGCAGGTTGTTCTCAAATTGATTCCCAATTTGACTTTAAATACTTGAACAATGGCCTGCGTTAAAGTTTTTGATACTGACCAAAGAATAGCCGCGACCGTCTGCATCTTCTCTAGGTGGCACTTGGAACACGACTGACCGAAGGCTGCCCTCTAGGCTTCAGTATCTCAATTACCTTATTAGGTTCTCCTAGTTTATTGTGCTGCACGAGCAAGTCTCTCAAGTAGACATTTCTGCTGTAGGGCACTCTGCCACTAGCTGTAAATTCATTAAAAAAAATCCGTTACGAATAATCACGTTACGCATGAATTTTTTTCCCGTCTTCATCTCATTCGCAACCTTAACGATCGCAATTCGCAAAACACCCTTACCTGTCTTGTGTTCTTTAAAGAATTATACTGGATGCCCCTTCAAGTTTTAAAGTTCTTAAAACGATATTTATCTTTGTAGTTAAATTTTCAAGTTAATAAATCTAATAATTCTAAACGAGAAAAAATTAAATGCATTACCTTGTCACTGTAGGCTATTTTCCATTACACTTTAGGAGCTCTACGATCACCCAACTGACATTCATGGCTTCAAGCATTGAATTCAGTCAAGATGTACCCACAAATTATTCATAACAACGAATTTATTCTTTAATATACTGTATATAAAAACTAATCATTGAATTATAATAGATCATTACGTAACGCCCTCAACGTAACCTAGCGCTGAACGCTCTGTTATGTAACGAACTACTAGACAGCCAATGCCCTTATATTTTAGTAGTGAGCGTCGTCTGAAGAATTCAGGAGCAAATCCCGCTCTTCAGTAACGTCGGGACTTGAATAAAAACTGCGGTATAATGCCAGTCATGTACCTCCAGGTTCTATACCGCGTCCACACCTTGAAAATTCTGCATGATTTCTTTTCATAAATTGAGATTATATACAATTTGCACCTCAATTATTAACGGTTCTTTTTAATTCTTTGGACAAATAGAAGGCAAAAAGTGTTTTCCCGAATTTGTCAGTTGTAAGACTCGATATAACTGGCAGCGACATCGCGGGTTATACAAGCGATGTTATACAAGCGATGCTCATTAATAAATTATGAAAGCGATGCTCATTAATATATTGTACAAGCGATGCTCATTAATAGGTTAAACACCATAAAAAATTGCTGAATGCATTTTTTTGGCCTTAGCGTATCGCTGGAAGATCAACACCTACACACATTATAAGTCATATCAACAGTTACGTAACCAAGTGAGAAAACCACGCACACGTTGCACACACACAACACATCAATAAATAATTAAATGGTAGCTAAATCTTTGCCTTGAATTTTGTATCTTTGTATTGCTAGTCAACCTTTTTTTAAATGAGTTAGGTTTACCACAAATTAGTTGAATGTCATGGAGGAAACGAGAATTGAAGTAAAATGTAACCTAGTTTACTTGACTCTCACTTTGCAAGACCTTCAGGTTCATCACGAGTCATCTTAATCTTAAAAAACCTTTCTTGTTAAGCAGCGAACCATATCAACTAGTGTTTTATCAATACACGCGCTCCTGCACTAATGCTTCAGTCTGGTACTGGAAAAAATATCCTCTATTTAAAGTTTTTAAATAAGACTTGAGCCGCTCCTATTGAAGCTTTGAATCCCAACACATCCTACTTTTTTGCAGCGCTTAATCAAGATAGAACCCAACCTCAATAAAGCTTTTATTCTTGATTCTTAGACGCTCAGGTGGAATTGGTTCACAATGGCACTAAGATTTTTTGCTGAGCAGACCTCAAGGCCGAAATGTTTTTTTTTAACAAGATCAAATAAGTTGCTGTAGAAAAAGTATAAAATAATTCATCAACTATGATAATTTATAACAATTCATCATTTGAATTATCCAGTTTATCCAGTAAATGTATTTTTGAATTAATATTTAATATATTACTTACGCAGTATTAATATATTAACCGGCTGAAAATCTCTGTCACAGTTCTAGGCAACTAGCAGAGCCATTTTTTCCTCGGTTATCGACGCAACTTGATATGTGCACTCAAATAATGAAAACTTTATTAACCATGCATTTTAATCGCTTAACAAATCTAAAGAATGTAATTTCAATCGATTTCCTTCAATTTTTTCAAGTTAAGGCAATATTTCTTACCCGTGGAGGTACGAAAACTGAGCAATATGTTTTGTTAAACCATAGTTCGTTTAATTCATAACTGTGAAGTTTTTATTGCATTGCAAGTGCATTCAACCGTAAATGAATGTTAATAAATCGGACCAGTAGTAATGTATCCATATTTAAAAAAACTTTTAAATATGGAGTGGAGGACTCCGTGGAGTGTTCCATTTGCTCATAAAAAATATATTTTCGCCAGGATTTCAGGGTAAGCTACTCCAAATAACCCAAACAACAATTTCCAAAAAGTACCTGGAACTCAGGGAATATTCTTTATTATTCCGCATAAAATTTCGATCCAGACTTTTCTTTTCATATGAAAAATTCTAACGAAAAAAAAAACTTTTAAATGTGGAGTGGAGTAATCCGTGGAGTGTTTCATTTGATCATAGAAAATACATTTTTGCCAGGATTTCAGGATAAGCTACTCCAAATAACCCAAACAATAATTCCCAAAAAGTACCTGGGAATTAACATAACTCATAACATAACATAACATAACATAACATAACATAACATAACATAACATAACATAACATAACATAACATAACATAACATAACATAACATAACATAACAAACATGGTGAAGATGTGTTCTAACCGCAGGCGAAAGATCAATCTTCCAGGCAATGAGGTGTTGCTGATGTATCAATTATCAATTTATATTATAGGTACACGTCGATCAGTATCAGATTCAAAATCCACGTTAGTCACTCTTTTGTATAGAGTAGCAGAGTTTGTTTATAGTGCAGAGACTTAAGCTACGCATAAGTGTAAACCATTCACCGATGATAAATAGCTTTTTAGATAATAGTTTATTTAATAATAACCTAAAACGGAATTCATGTATGCACCGTTGTTTATGTAGGGCAAAGAATACAATTATACTATAAAACTAAAAATAAAAAACTTTGCTGATATGTCAAATCATATGCAATATAACCTCTTGCGATTATCTAACTTTAATTGAACAGTAATTTCATGATTGCACCTAAAATTTCGGCCTATTTAAATGCGCCGGAAAAACAATAAGGTTTACTGTCCTTGTTGTCCTTATTATGTGTTTACTGCGTACTCTTATTTTGCATTATTTGCTCTGTGTATTCATAGAAATGCGCAAAATATTCGCCTTAATATTCCTCACCGTCTATTGCCTATGCATTGTTAGTGAAAAAATGTTTAAGCTATAACGTTGTATTTAGATTAGAACATCGGCATTTCGATTGCAAGTTCGTGATTCTGCACAGACCAGGAAGTTCCGTGCAGAGGAAGCAAAAACTTTGATTGGGACAACAGGAAGTAAAGTCAAATTCCTCGTCGTAAATCATTGCATTTATTTCATACAACATCGTAAACTTGTGAAACACGTCTATTTAGCTTAATTTTGTGTTATCAGAGGTCTAAAAGTTATTGCAAAATATTGTTCGAGTTTTAAGAAATGTTTACGTGTTTATATGGATCATACTTTCGATATTTCGTATTTTAAAGATTAGTACAATTTTTCATGTCATTATCGAACATGACTTATTGGTCGAGGATAAAGGAAGGTAAATAAAATAAATAGGATAAATTGATGGGTTTAAATTCAATTCATAAAGCGTTAAATTGCTCTACTCTATCGGTCATCGAATTTCCCGGTTGGAAACTGACCGACTCGAGGTGCATGATTGATGCGCCGAGCGCCGTTCGTGTTTTGGTCTTTTTATTGCGTGTGATGCAAGAACTTTTCCTATGATATGCGCACAACAATGCACATGCAGAGCAAAAATCTTCACTCAATTAGTACGCGTCGCGCGATTCACTGCGTTTCCACAATGGCTTGGGGAACCGAATACAGCACGCAGCCGGTCTTACTCGAGCTTCTCAATTTTCGCAGGAAAAATAAAATTTCCTCAAATCCCCTAGTAAGATCTGCAGAGGTTTATTTCTGATGTGCTTCAATTTTTTTAAGGAACTGAACGCATTTTCGATGCGCTATTTTAATAGACTGCTAAGCTAAGCCCAAAATTGGTTCGTAATGCAAGGGAATTAATTTTTTTCCCGCCCTAGAGGCAGAGCCACTCCTCAATATTAACCGAAAATTCCAACTCAAGTCACACAACAATAAAGAACTCGCGTTGGCGGAACTTGTTGTTTAATCGCCAACATTTAGTTTCGTGTATCATGTGTCTTTTGTATAATATTATTGAAGTAGCCACAGCCACTCATTTTTAGGAGTCCGATGATAATTATAATGGAGCAATTATGGTGCATATTAAGAACGTGTTATTAGGTAACAATGCCCAGCGGCCACCCGTTCGTCCTGCTCCGTTTTAAACACACGGCGTTCACCAACACAATGTACGAGCGGCCACGCGTTCGTCCTGCTCCGTTTTAAACACATGGCGTTCACCAACACAATGTACGAGCGGCCACGCGTTCGTCCTGCTCCGTTTCAAACACACGGCGTTCACCAACAACAGATCCAAGCAGCGATCCGGCCGTCCAGCTCGGTTTTATTGCAACTATGGCTACATTTCACGTGCCATAAGCGACTGTCTTACGAAAATATTCCAGCGCCAGGAGGCGGCGGTAAAAGTGGAAAACTGTTGAGAAACAATCCCCATTTGTTATGTGCATATTTCAGCAAGCAACTATATTGCAGAGAAAAATTTTAATGAATGCTTTGTGCAATTTACTGTCGAAATTCTTGTTTTTAAAGCCCAAGTTTACAATAATAAATAGTTTTCCGCCTTATTTCAACATGCAAGTCAAGGCATAAATTACATAGCCAAGGATTGGAGTTCGTGTGAACTAGCGTTTCTGAATGAGTTTGTTGCATATTTACATAATTACTCGTGTTTAAATAATTTAAATTGATAATGACTCAACAAAGGAATTGAGAACAAAATATAGCTTTTTACTTCTATAGAGGGCATTAGGATTTTTGGGCCAGGTAAAATATATTAAATTTAGTCAGCCACAGCCGGTGTTTTTCATCACAGAATCCATTGACCCTTTTTTCTTCAAGATTCTTTTTTTGACAAAAATATAAAATATATTCGATGAACATCAAGGAAAAAACTATATCCACACATTTAGGTACCTACTCGCACTGCAATAATATTTTATTTACATCTTATGATTTCCCAACATATAATAAAACGCTTGATGGTAGTATCATTTGGTGCGTTAATCAAGTACGTTTTTATATAAATTTCATATATGCAAACCGCACAAAAAATGCTTACTTTGCCTTCTTTCATATACTAAAAGTATTGAGATACTTGTCTTAAAAACGCGTACAATTCATCTCCTCTTGAAATTGTTGATAGATATAGGTTCGTTTGTCGATTTCTCAATACTTTAGGTTATAATTTTTTTGACCTGATGATAGCGCTGGCCGCCGAAACGTTTTCATTGAAGATATGATCAATTTCCTATCGTTTTCTTTGCTTTTCAGTGCTTAATATCATTTATTGTAAACAATATTATCGTGACTCTCATTGCATGGGAAGGTCCAGGGCGTTCACATTACGTTAAAGTCAAGATTTTTTTCCGACACTCTCAACGCTGCGTCAGTGAAAGTATGATGACCGTCTACACTCGTCGCGTTCTCTTAAATCAATAAATCTCTTTATTCAAGTCATGCTAATTTTGTAGCATGGATTATCAAGTATACGGAAATGGTTTTGTTTCTGAATTAGATTCAATGATTAATTTGTTCGTGTATCTGAAATTGGCCGTACATTGCCACAAAAATTCTTATTATAATTTCATCGAGAAAATACACTTTGCTATAATTCGTTCAGGTGACAAATTGGCCCCGTCATTTTTGATATTAAGTTAGCTTTACTCTAGATTTATATTGAACAATTAATTACCAAAGATGCCAATTCTCCGGAGTCTACTATGGAACTTTTTGTGGGGGTTTGAGGAGGTGTAAGCGAAAGCAGCGCCCGTATTAGCGAGGTACGATTGTTGCCAGAGGGTAGGGACAGATGGACGCTATCAATAACTATAATAATAATAATAACAATAATAACAATGATAATAATAATAATAATAATTATAATAATTATAATAATAATATTACTATTAATAACAACTCTATGAATAATAATTTTCACAGGCGAAAGCAGCGCCGAAGGACAGATGGACGCTATCAATAAAAACTGTTATACATTAACAGCATGAACTGGGAGATGGTAGTCAGGCTAATATTCCTGCACACATTTTCTGCTTTTATTCTCTAATAGCAAGACAAAATAATTAACAAAATGCTCAAATCTTTTCGATCCGTCTCTTTTCGCAACTAATTTGTATTTCGCACAGATGACGGACTTACTTGCAACTTACTTCCAACAAATCTATATTATATAATATTATGTAATACTATGTTATTTTATTTGACCACATCTCCTGATTAATTTATTCAACAGAACAATATTTCGCCGAATTTGATAATAAGTAAAATCACTGATCCCGTTTATGTGATTTATTCAACATTTCTTCTGCCTAATAATCGGGTCAGTGACTCCAATGACGACTACGACATATTTTATCACGCCACTGACATATTTTATCGTGTCACTGTGGAGGAATCGCCAAGCAGATGCCCTGGCCCGTCTCAGCAGCGCAGGGCCGGAGCGTTGAGGTCGCTTCACTCGGTCACCGTCGCTCGCGCTGAGCGCATCACTTTCGCTCTCATCTCACCGCTGCCTTCTGGCGCCAGACTTAGAGAATTAGAAAATTAATCTCAGCTAGACGCTGAAATTATATTGAGTGAACACCGCACAACGTGAACGTTTATACCATGTATTTTTATATATTTAATAGTGAAAAATTCTTCTCATCTGACCGCTGCCTTCAGGCGCCAGCCTTATAGATCCTGAAAAGTAATCTCAGCTAAACGCTGAAAGGATATTAAGTGAACACCGCACAACGTGAACGTTTATACCATGTATTTTTGTAAATTTAATAGTTAAAAAGTTTGAATTCTAGTGATGAGGACTGAATGCCGATACGCAATTTTCGCATTCGGATCGTTGATAAATTTTCAAGTCTGCTTCCATTGTTGTGGTGCAAACGCGGCAGGAAGACATTAAATTCGAAGAAACCGAAACTATTTAAGTAAAATAAATCGTGATGAACAGTTGTTAATTTTTCCAACGCCATTCACCAACGAGGGCGCGATGGTATAAAACTGGAAATGAATCGAGAAAAAGTGTATCTTTATCGAGAAAAAGTATTAAATTATTACACAATACAGTGTTATTCTAAATCATGGACCCAATTTAAATATTTACTCCTTATTTAAGTAAATTCAAAATTAATAATTTATACACCAATTGAAAGAAAAAAGATTCAAATTTTTAACCTATTAAAGGGAAAATTGAGATCCCTATTGGCATCTTGATGTCCGAAACTTTTTGAATCAGTCACTTCTCGAGCCTTGGATAGGAGGCATAGGAAATGAAGATCAGGCTCTACACTTCTGGCCACCGAGATCACCTGATCTCACCCCATGTGACTATTTCTTATGGGGTTACGTCAAGGAAACTGTTTACGTCCCGCCTCTACCAGCAAACTCTGTTTACGTCTCGCCTCTACCAGCAACTCTGTTTACGTCTCGCCTCTACCAGCAACTCTGTTTACGTCTCGCCTCTACCAGCAACTCTGTTTACGTCTCGCCTGTACCAGCAACTCTGTTTACGTCCCGCCTCTACCAGTAACTCTGTTTACGTCCCGCCTCTACCAGCAACTCTGTTTATTTGGTTTTGGCCTCTACCAGCAACTCTGTTTACGTCCCGCCTCTACCAGCAACTCTGTTTACGTCCCGCCTCTACCAGTAACTCTGGTTGATCTGAAGAATCGTATCACTGCTACGGTGCACTCAGTAACAGAAGATATGCTATCTCGTGTGTGGGACTAGTTAGGCTACCGTTTAGATATTTGCCGTGCAACACATATTGAACACCTATAAATTTGTAAAAAATAAAATTTTTCTCTTTCAAATGGTGTATAAATTATTAATTTTAACTTTTCACTTATATAAAAACGATTTTAATTAATTGGGTTTATCATGTAGAATAGCCCTGTATGTAGTTATTGTTGTTCAAAATCTTAATGTCACAATTTGAGACATCTGAGGTCGTTAGACATTTGTTTAGCTCCTAAACTTGCATATGAAGGATTCTAGTGAATTTCGAAATTATTCGAATAGCTTAACTGAATCGCTTAAATCAATTTCTTTTTCAGGTGACTTGAAATATTTTAAAACATTCTTTACTTCCAATGACCAATGATCAATTTAACCAACCTATTTCCGAAATAGTTTTACGGTTCGAAATCGAATTATCGTCTTTGTTCAGTAGCGATATTCTTGAGAGGCTCAAAAGAATTGCGAATTGAAATTTCAAGCAAGGCTTGAAAATTTTCATGAGATGAACTCAAGTTGTTGCATGCTTCAACGCCCGACAGCAGCAGCCAGCATTACATATAATACAACTAATTACAAACAATACAACTAATTACAAATAATACAACAACATTACAAATAAGTAAATAATTTCTAAAGAGTCGGAAGCAGGATGAGGGTCTGCACTCTGATACAAGTAAGTACCGTCATTCAAGAGTGCATGGTTATTATTCTATACTAATTGCCGTGAAAAAAAAAAATAAATTCATGTGATAGAATTTTAATTTCAAGAATATACATGTAGTAAGAATAAATTTATGTAACAACTTCTTTTTGAAAATTGGATGGAATTGGCGGTTCCCAGCGGTAAGAGATTTCTTTATCGCAATCTTTGTTGACATTAATAATTTATGTTGAAAAAGTAAATGATGCTCAGACACGGAAAATAAATTCGATTTCATGTTCCTAGAGGAGTTCAGTTGGAATTTTTCGATTAGTGGCTACAACAGTATTTATTTAACGGTGATTTGTACGCCTACTGTCGATAGGTCTACTGTGTTGGAGTTTGAAAATCAAACAACAATGCACCTGTTACAAATCAATTAATTATCCTTTCTCGTGCTATGTATCCTTCACTGTATTGAATCTTTTTCCAGTGTCGTAACAATGTCCAGTAAAGGTCATGCTCCAATGTCGCCATTTTTTGCGTATTTTACCGGTCGTACTCCGATAGTTTACGCATAAATATTCTGTCTGATCTGTTTCAAGATTTCGCTGATCTATTGAGTTCATGATTATGCAGTCCGTTGAACTATAATGCCCCTCCAGGCATCTATTAGATATAAATACTTCCACGTGCTTGATAATTTCATTATCATTTTCTATTTGATGCTTATACCAATGATCCAGGAACTGCTGGTGTTAGAAACGACACGTAAACTAAAAATAAGAAATTTTCTATTCTACGCTCTTGATCTGCACGTGACCGGAACTCTCACAGAATATTTCTTTCTTCCGGAAGTTTGTCGAGAGAAATACCGGATCCCGAGACGACGCGACTGCGGGCGTGTTCGATCCTGAGACGGAGACCGTTGAACGCAAGGTCGGCCGTTTGCCGGCGCTGGAATCTAGCATATCTGTCGTGATATTCACACGTATTGTTGTGAAACTAAAATCTGCAGTTTCTGAGTGCTATGCTACACGCACAGGGCTGTGAAATGTTATATATGTTGCACGCATAGGGTGGTCACGAAGACATATGACCGTGTTAATAACCTCTTCCCCATGCATGGAAACTCATTTTCTTCACACAAGCTTTGATTGAATTGAAGCCAATTTTCGAGCTAAACTATTTGTAAAATATTGACGAACTACTGAGATTAAATCAAGATATTTCATCAAACTCAGGAGGACTGTTAGGAACAAGTTCAGATTCAAGTTGCACTTATGTTCATTAGATGTGATTAAATGCATCTTGAATCGCAAAGATAAAATATAACTCAGTACTCACTGCAGTGAGTGACAGAGAGCGCATTTTCTCGTCGACGAAAACGTGAAGTCACGGACGGACAGACGAACAGACGGACAGACGGACGGACAGATAGGGCGAGCAAAATGAGATGATTGCATCAAGACAAAAAATAGCGGCCTAGTCTCAGTGAATTTGCGCTTGGTTGGGTTGCTGCACGGCTCTAAACTGTGGCCATACCTGAGCAGAGTATTGCTATATTGTCCCTAGGGCAGCAGGACGAGCTGAAGTAAAGAGCACAGGCCGACCGCCCTCAGCGATCGTCCACCTGACCTCATCTTGCAACAGCGGCTCCTGGGTCACCGGCTCGCGCCTCCTGGGTCGCCGGCTCGCGCCTCCTAGTTAGGTCACCGGCTCGCGGCTCCTAGTTAGGTCACCGGCTCGCGGCTCCTAGTTAGGTCACCGGCTCGCGGCTCCTAGTTAGGTCACCGGCTCGTGGCTCCTAGTTAGGTCGCCGGCTCGCGGCTCCTAGTTAGGTCACCGGCTTGTGGCTCCTAGTTAGGTCACCGGCTCGTGGCTCCTAGTTAGGTTGCCGGCTCACGGCTCCTAGTTAGGTCACCGGCTTGCGGCTCCTAGTTAGGTCGCCGGCTCGCGGCTCCTAGTTAGGTCACCGGCTTGTGGCTCCTAGTTAGGTCACCGGCTCGTGGCTCCTAGTTAGGTCGCCGGCTCACGGCTCCTAGTTAGGTCACCGGCTCGCGGCTCCTAGTTAGGTCGCCGGTTCGCGGCTCCTACGTAGGATGAGGGTTAAGCACGTGTAGTGCGTGTGATACGTGCACGTGAGTTAGGGGCAGCCCACGTGTACAGTAGGGTGTGTACTGTGAAATGTACAAAAAATATAACTCAGTACTCACTGCAGCGAGTGACAGAGAGCGCATTTTCTCCTCGACGAAAACGTGAAGTCATGGACGGACATGACGAGCACAATAGAGCATTTTTTCCGTAAATGAGAAAATGCGCTAAAAAGTACTTTAAATCCCAAATACTATGTCTATTTCGTCGACGAAAGCTTGAGGTCACGGACGGACAGACGGACAGACAGACGGACATGACGAGCACAATAGTGCATTTTTTCCATAAATGAGAAAATGCGCTAAAAAGTGTGAGTGTTGCCAATGCCGGTGCGAGTGCAGAAAGTTTCAAGCGCGTGGGGAGAGTGTAACATGTAGGTAATGTGTGTTTTGTGCACTTGGTATGCTTCGTACGTAGTTAGTGTTTAATAATTAAGTGCATTGTGTGCATGTTCACGTATTACGTTAGCGTATTACATTAACATGTGAACTTGTGCTTGGCAAGGACGGATGTGCATGAAACACGTACTTAATGTGCGTGGAACATGCACTTAGCGCGCGTGTCCGGCAGTGACGCTTGGTAGGCGAGGTCTGAACTTGTTCCCAACAGTCCCCTTGAATTTGATGAAATATCTTCATTTAATCTCAGTTAGTCGATCTTTTGATGGCTGGACGTCATGCAAAACCTTTTGATAATTAATTCACTTCAGTTGCGTGCTCTGCGTGCGAAGAATTATCTATTTCACTATTATAATTCGTTCACATTCCCATGTTACCATCTTCTTCGACGTCATTATATTCCGGCGATACCATCATTCCGTTGCTGAATTTGAAAGTACGTCTTTTGTCTCAGCTCATAAAAGAAGCTCCCATCAGGGAAGGAAAAATACAATTATTCAATTATTTAGTAGTACAAATTAGATTTCATACGTTCTTCAAATTTGCAGTTTTGTTACAACAATACAACTCAATATGATTAACCTCCCAGATTAAATTTTTAGAGTGGCATATGAAAAAGCGAGCGGCTTTCATATAATACTGACGAGGCATAGAAACTTTGATGCAGCGTACTTACGCAGAAGGCAGGGATAGTCATCCAGGGGGATGAATATCATGTAGGTATATTTTCTCGGGTAATTATTGTCACTCTTCTCTGGAATTTTGATCTGTGAAATACAGGGTGATTCATGGAAACTTCCTGATTTAAAAACGCAATAAAAAAACTACTTAAGATATTATTATAATGTTAAACTTATTGAAAAAATCATTACCTGAATATTTGTGCAATTAAGTTTTAAAAGTGACATCGGACAAATGACGCCCCCCCCCCATTGTCAATGCATTCGGCTTGGCGAATGTCGTTCTTCCAATGAGATAGGGTCCATGGAAAGTCATTGTAAACAAACAAAACAAGATAACCCTATAAATAATCACACGGAGTCAAATCGGGGGATCGGGCCGGCCAGAGAAGTTTTCGAAGAGATGAGGCGTTCTGTAGAATGTTCTTCAATTTTCTTTCTGTTCTTTAATGTTCTTGTTCTAGAATGTTCTTTAATGTTTTTTTTTTCACACACACACTCCCTCTGAGATTTTTCAATCTCAGAGGGAGAAAACTCTGCAAAACGGCCATTATATGAACTCTGCAAAACGGCAACATTATTTTGCATGTGTTGAATACATATTTTATTTGATGTAATATTTGAGTCACTGGACGAACACATGACCAATAACGCACACTAACGACTTACGTTACGTCTTCCTCAGCATTCGACTTCGTTAGCACAAGCAGGGTAGGGCCGGCGTTTTGCCAAGTCATTGCGTTAGCTCTGTAACCTTCAACTTGTTATTGCAGCATCGCACAAAATAATCATCGTGTTTCATCGGTGTTATTTGCGCGGACGTGATCCCATCATTTGCGAACTTTAGTGACTAAAGTCATTTTAAACCTTGTTATTCTCTGAGTAATTATATTTATATTTTTTCTTAGAATTATGGATTAAAATAAGAATGAAATATTGGTTATACCACTTTATGTTAATGCAATAAAAACTTCTATTACATATATTTGCATTTAGAGACATCAGGATGATGGCTGACTTATTTGCTCATAGGGTTCAGATATTTATCGCGGTGGGAATTTACGAATTCAAGACAAACACAACTAAAATCTAGAGTATGATCGTGTTATTTCTTGTATGTTGCTGCAAAACCGCAAACTTTTATCAACTTATTCAAAACAATCTAATATTTGGAGACGCCCGATGCAATCGTTGACCTTCACCCGAGAGATACAGGTCAGCTCTTTCTTTCCGGCTATATTTTTTCACAAATACTCATCTGAGCCCGTTTTTTTGAGAAGTCTTATGCAATAAAGAGAGCCCAGGGCACACATTATTTACTGCTTCTATCCTCGGTGATCTTTGGAGGTGGCAACTATACGATGGGCTCGACTGCCTGATGAGCGTGGAGGGCGTTTACGCAACATATCTTTAGAAAATTTCTGTAGTAGTCACAAAAAATTCATCTGCATCGTCGGAAAATGACCTCCAGATTCAAATGTATTCGATTTATAATGAAATTTATGGCATCAAAGATAATTGTTGCTCATGAAACAAACTTGACCTCATTTGTAACTCCAGGCTTCAATCTTTCATTTTAAAAAAGTCCTGAAAGTTGAACCTAAAAAACAAACGATTAGCAGCCGATATTTTTTTATTTCACTACGCTTCAATTCAGCTTATAACTCGCGTATTTAACAGGGAAATAAATGTAACTACCACAAGCAGAATCAACAGCTTTTTGGAAGTTCTATGTAAACGATAAGAATGAGCTACCATGCAAAGACCAATTTACTAGTATAATCCAACTTAACGTCTAAAT